GTCATTTTCTGAGATATGATCATAATAAAGCAAAATAAGATGATATAGTTGACGCTAAAGTTTGACACTTTTTGCGGGGTTTCAATTGTATGAATCAAGATCAATACTACTAAATTTTGTAGATTAGGGTTGGAATATGAGAAAAATATAATTGCTAAAGGAGTAATTCATTGTGGGTAGTAAATTTTTTGAATTTTCTGAGATATGGCTAAAATGGAGTAAAATAAGATGTTTTGAGCCAACACTAAATTTGACGCTTTTTGCGGGGTTTCAATTGTATACATCGAGATCAATACTACTAAATTTTGTAGATTAGGGTTTGCAATTATAAAAAATATAAGTGCTGAGGGAGTAATTCATTGTTGTTAGTAAATTTTTTTGAATTTCTGAGATATGGCTAAAATAGAGTAAAATAAGATGTTTTAGCCAACACTAACTGTTGACGATTTTTGCGGGGTTTCAATTGTATAAATCGAGATCAATACTACTAAATTTTGTAGATTAGGGTTTGAATATAAGAAAAATATAAGTGCTGAGGGAGTAATTCATTGTTGGAAGTAAATTTTATTGAATTTTCTGAGATATGGCTTCAATAGAGTAAAATAGGAATATTTAGTTGACGCTAAAGTTTGACACTTTTTCGGGATTTTAATTGTATATATCGAGATCAATACTACTAAATTTTGTAGATTAGGGTTTGAAATTGAGAAAAATATAACTTCTGAGGGAGTAATTCATTGTTGGTAGTAAATTTTTTTGAATTTTCTGAGATAGGGCTTCAATAGAGTAAAATAGGATGATTTAGTTGACGCTAAAGTTTGACACTTTTTGCGGGAATTCAATTGTATATATCGAGATTAATACTACTAAATTTTGTAGACTAGGGTTTGAAATTGAGAAAAATAGAAGTGCTCAAGGAGTAATTCACTGTGAGTTGAAAATTTTCTATATTTTCTGAGATATGATTATAATAGAGCAAAATAAGATGATTTAATTAACACTAACTTTTGACGCTTTTTGTGGGAATTCAATTGTATATATCGAGATCAATACTACTAAATTTTGTTGATTAGGGTTTGAAATTGAGAAAATAAAACTGCTGAAGGAGTTATTCACTGTGAGTAGAAAAGTTTCGTAATTTTCTGAGATATAATTATAATAGAGCAAAATAAGATGATTTAGTTAACATTAACTTTTGACGCTTTTTGCAGAATTTCAATTGTATAAATCGTGATCAATACTTCTAAATTTTGTAGATTAGGGCTCGATATTGAGAAAAATATAAGTGCTGAAGGAGCTATTCACTGTGAGTAAAAAAGTTTCGTCATTTTCTGAGATATGATCATAATAAAGCAAAATAAGATGATATAGTTGACGCTAAAGTTTGACACTTTTTCGGGATTTCAATTGTATATATCGAGTTCAATACTACTAAATTTTGTAGATTAGGGTTTGAAATTGAGAAAAATATAAGTGCTGAAGGAGTTATTCAATATGACTAGAAAATTTTCGTAATTTTCTTAGATATGATTATAATAGAGCAAAATAAGATGTTTTAGCTAACATTAAATTTTGACGCTTTTTGCGGGAATTCAATTGTATATATCGAGATCAATACTACTAAATTTTGTAGATTAGGGTTTGAAATTGAGGAAAATATAACTTCTGAGGGAGTAATTCATTGTTGGTAGTAAATTTTTTTGAATTTTCTGAGATATGGCTAAAACAGAGTAAAATAAGATGTTTTAGCCAACACTAACTTTTGACGATTTTTGCGGGGTTTCAATTGTACAAATCGAGATCAATACTACTAAATTTTGTAGATTAGGGTTAGAAATTGAGAAAAATATAAGTGCTGAGGGAGTAATTCATTGTTGGAATTAATTATTTTGAATTTTCTGAGATCTGGCTTCAATAGAGTAAAATAGGATGATTTAGTTGACGCTAAAGTTTGACACTTTTTGCGGGATTTCAATTGTATATATCGAGATCAATACTACTAAATTTTGTAGATTAGGGTTTGAAATTGAGAAAAATATAAGTGCTGAAGGAGTAATTCACTGTGAGTAGAAAATTTTCGTTATTTTCTGAGATATGATTGTAATAGAGCAAAATAAGATGATTTAGTTAACACTAACTATTGGCGCTTTTTGTGGTATTATATTATTTTCGCAAATTTATGCTATTTTAAAGACCGTTTAGACATAATACGCCCAATAGTACCAACAATATTTATTTAATTCCAACCTGAAAATTATGTCATGCACATTAGCTTATATAGCCCTATTAAGTCCTTTATTCAAGTAAATTCAAAATATCATGCTTCGGCAATGATATATATAAATAATATATATAATTTTCGCTAATTTATGCTATTTTGAAGACCGTTTAGTAATAATACCCACAATATTACCAACAATATTATTTTAATTCCAACTTGAAAATTTGGTCATGCACATTAGCTTATTCAGCCTTTTAGACGCCGATAATCAATTAAATTAAAAAAATCATGCTTCGGCAATGATATATAAGTATAATATATATAATTTTCGCAAATTTGTGCTATTTTGATGACCGTTTAATAATAATACGCCCAATATTACCATGTTAAACTTTATGGGAATTGACGAGTCAACGTTGATTCAACGTTTCTTGGAATGAAGTGGAAGGCTAAAAAAATTAATTGATTAAAATTTTAATTTTTTAGCCTTCCTTCCTTGGTTAATTGTGATAGCAGAAAATTTCTTTCTGATTCAGAACCATATAATTACCATTTTTTTTTTTAATTCATTCCATTAAATCCTAAAATGAAATAAATTATATAACAGCAATTGTTTTGCATATACATGAAAATATTTCCCCTTTTTTAATTAAAAATATTGCCAATAACTCGCCAATGCCAACTATCAACTTGCAAAAGCAATAAAATTTTCATCCACTTCGTATCTAAAACTTTATTTCCAAGAATTCCAAGTGAAGAGGTGAACCAAGGTGAACATTGGAAAGTTCACCGTGCTTTTGTTGAGAAAGAAAATCAGCCGTTGTAAAAGACTTTTGTAGATATTTGGAATAAAAAGGCAGTAAAAATGAAATGAGCGCAAATTGGTCTTAGCAGAACATTGTCGAGTGAAAATTTGAGCGGAGTGCGTCTGGCGGCGGCGCTTTGGGCTCGCCTTGCCTCTCATTTGGACAAATTTTGAAATAATTCTGTCGTGCAGCCGAGGAGGGAGTCTTTTCTCTCGCCCTGAGCACTTCTTCCCTCTCGCTTTTTCTCTCCTCGACAGAACACTTTTTTGCTTTTAAAAAAGCCACAGATGGTTCTTAACGCTTTTAATCGCAAATTGATTTTCCAGCCGCCTCCACTCGGCGCATTCTTTCTTAACCAGGAAGCTGTTGCGAAAACGCGTATACCTTGATTCAAGTTTGAAGAGGTCCTTTTGTAAGCACAGATCTCGTCAGGAATACGCCTCTTGATTATTTGCACGTCTCTTAAAAATTCACTCTTCCAAAAATCATCAGAAGCGATTTAATTATTCTGGCTTACGCTTAAGGATTGCAGAAATTTCATAACACTCTGGGCATTCTTCACAATCAGAATTTGAAAGGTTTATTTAATTTTTTCGTGCCATATCTTGAGTAAACTTTTTTAATGCCAAATGAAATGTTCTTTAATTCTAAGGTCATTACATTACTTTGCATTCCTTTATAGAACGCTGAATCAATGGTAAAAATTAACTTTTTCTACACATTTTTTTGTTTAATATTGCCATTTTTCCAGTTTATTTACTTCAGGCATTAAAATCAGAGTATTGTTGCAAAGTATCTTTATTGATTTATGATTTATAGCAGCATTTCATTTTTAAACCACTGAAATACGTTGCTAAAAATTAAAAAAAAAAAAATTAGTTTAAATTTCTGCCGATTTTCAACTATGCAACCTGCGGAATATACGTGTTAAGGGGGAAGCATAACATTTTATTGTGTGCATGCCATAGAAAATTTATAAAATTTTATTATAGTTTTTTTGAAAAATCCTCATCAGAGTACTATTCTTCAATATTTAAAATAATACAAATTAAAATTAAATTACAGTAAATTTTTAATTATTCTAAAAATTTAAAACTGAATATATATTTTTAACAATTTATAAATTTTAAGATCATATTATCTATAAATTAAATTACATAAATTATACTCTCAGTAACTTTCATCAAATTTTTAGCCGTTCTGAGAAGATTTCTGTATAGAAAGTATGTTTATCTGCATATTTAATTATATTCAATGCTATCCTTTACTTTTCCTTTGATGTGTCAAAGACTCGACACAAGACAATAAATAATATGTGATATGTGCCATGACGCAATGGTTTTTTTACCTCATTCGTGAGAAAAATAAAAATAAAATGAAATTATCATTTAAGTTTGGCTTTCTTTCACTTCCACGTTTCGCGAGGAAAAGACAGCTTACTGCTTGTGCATTGGATTTGCTCTCAGAGGAAAAACTGACGCGAAGAATACCGAGGCTAAAGGAAAGGTAAAAGAAGGCTGTTAAAAAAATTCGCTGCACATGTGCATGAGAGACGCCGCTTTTCTCACGGCACAAAAACAGCGCCAACAACAGCCGTTTGGCTGTTCGATACACAAAACCAGCTCTTCCGTTGCCGCAACTGGTGATCGGCTTTATCTTCCTCGAGCCGACCGCACAAAAGAAATCAATAGTTTACTCGACTATAATTGACAGTGTTGCAGTCACAGGACCCAGCAGATATTTATTAAATAGTTGAAACAAAAATAAATATATTCCAAATTCATTTTGTGATTGAGATAATCTGGACTATTCTGCTACTTAAACATTAAAAATAAAATGAAATTGTTCATTTTATTTAATTTGCTCTACAAATTTAAAAAACTATGGCTTTTTCTATTATGATTTGAAAATCAATCAGAAGCAAATAATGAACGGAATTATAAAAAAAGTTTACATTTGTTATGAATTAAATTTTTATTATGATAAATTAATCAGAAATATTTCAGGGTTAATATATCACAAAAAGCGTAAAATTGACAATTTATTTAACATTTTATTTGAAATCAATAATTTTTTGTTAATTAACTTATTATTTGGTTAAGCAAGACCAGAAATCGTTAGCAACGGAACAGCAGACCTCAGTTTTAGTAAAATGATCCTACAAAAGTAATCGTTGTTTCAGACGCTCCAGACACAGGAAGACTGCGAGACCGCCAGAATTGCCAGTTGTAAAACACTGAAATCACATATTATTTTATTTTGGTCATAAATATAAAATCTAAAAACTTACAAATATCTCCTTCTTGTAACAAAATCGACACTCCGTGGCATCGTCCAATGCACTGAGGGGATGAATTTAACGCCAACAACCTGGCCCCTTTAGCTTGGCTAACCCAGACATTTGCAAAATCAGTCAAGGGCTGAAATGCACATAGTTAAGTAATGATTCAATTAAAGATGTACCGCTGAACTTACGATGGTGTAAGTTGGAGCAGCTGGTCCATCGATGAAAATAAATCTCTGGATGGCTGCCTCAGTGTTCGGTGGGACAAACGGTGGCAAAGGGAATAATTTTTTCAAAACTCTAGCTGCCTCTGATCGTGTTACTTTCCTGCAAGTCACAGATTGGAATACATTTGATGTTTGCAGTTAGTTTTTATTTAATCCTACCAAGTAAAATGCGCCTCTGGATGGACGTCAGTCATGTTGAACTCTGGAATTTTTAAAAAATCTTCAACAAAATATGTGGTCGTCTCCGTATTTTCTGCGATTATTCTCGGCGCTGACCTGTTGATGATTTTCCGAGTGTCAAGATACAAGTCTTTGATTTTATCCTTGTTGACCAAAACAGAATGTCCCTGTAAATTGAAAGATTTTGGTGAAAATAAAGAAACACTTTTTCTGGAAATTTACTTTCAATACAAAAGGAACTCCGTTGTGGAAATACGTGTCAGCAAAGTTTTCAGGTGATGAAGTAAAAGTAAGAACACTGCGAACATTTTCGCACGGCCAGCAATCAGGACCTCGGAAGCCGTAAAGTGGATTTCGTAGCAGACACGGCTCTTCATGCCACTCTGAAAACAAGTTAATTTTTAGATCAGAATTATTTTTTTTACAAAATGACCCACCGGCCAATTCAGGATAAGCATGCAAAATGGGCAGAGTGAGCTTCCTGAAGGCTCTCATGAAAGGATAGATGAAGCCCTGAATGTGCCTTGACAGCGACTTCTGGGTTGGTGTGTGGCAGGAGACCACTGCGTACAAAAGCAAGGTCAAGAACACAAGCTTCAAAAGTCGAAAAGTCCATTTCTTTGCGGTTTTGTATATAGACAGCTGAGGATGCATTTCTTTTGCGATTTCGTCCAACGATTCACTGATCAGTTGGTCGAATTGTTCCTGTGGAACTCCCTTGCCTTCGGCCTTGATCCTCAACTCCTCGATAGCCCTTGCATACTCCTCCAAGGCTTCTTCTCTTGTGACCATTTTTTCAATCTGGAATTTTCAATTTATGTAAGACTTTTCACGACAAAATAGTTCCTCAACAAAAAGAAAGACTAATAAATAAAGAAAAGAATAACCTATTGGATGTTTCCATAAAATTTAGCAAAATTAAAACTGTACATTTTTAGGTAAATGCAATTTTAAAAATTGAAAAGGAATTATGCTCACCAGGTTTTCTCATTTTGAAGAAGTATGCAATGATTTATAACTTAAAATACTCTTTAAGCTCAAGATAAGTAAAAATGACAGAGCCCAGAATTATGCAGACGCAGACTGATGGAAAACCTGAATTACTTTCGAGCCATGAAGACTGAAGAGACGTAGGACTGCGTAGGACGTATTCTGCCTTTTTGGTTTTTATTTACAAACAATCATGACGTAATGCATAGCCGGCGGGCATCAGCCAATCAGAAGCGTCCGTTGGCCTCACCGCTTCTCTTATTGGCCAACAGGCAGGACATGCGGCGCAGCGGCTGTTGCTTTTTTCGATAGGCAACTCCAATAATTATTTTCCCAAACACTTTTCCGGTCGATAAAGAAACGTGCTTCCCGTTTACGCTGCCGGTAAACATTTAGGTTGCAGTATTTGGTCAAGCATCGTAATTACCGTTGCAAAAAGTCATTTGCATCTCTCAACTGAAGATGCCCAGGACGAAGGCCTCGCCCAAAAAATGCGTTAAATCGCAGGTCGCCAACGACACTCTCCTGCTCATCCTCAAAGGTAAAACTTTTTGGTTCACCTTGCCTTCGAATCATGAATTGAAACAGCGTTCATATCAATTCCTGTAGGCGATGCCCTAACAATTCCTGAAGGATGCGACGGAAAATTGAACATTGTGAAGCTACGGCATCCGCAAACTTCTTCACAGGCGATGTTCTTTTTCAGCGCCGACAATAAAATGGTCCAAGAGATTCTCAGCTTTTCCGAGGACAAAAGGTAAATGACTATGTATATAACTATATGTAGTTAATTGTTCTTTTAAGGATATAGAAAAAAAATTTAATTTATTTTGCTTTTATAATCTCCTAGGTCTTGGGTGATCGATGACCACATCCAGTCGGACGGAAAAGTTCACCTGTCAACACCAGTTGACCCTCTGTTTTTGATTTTACCTTACATGACAAAGGTACTTAAAATTTTGATTGAAATGTTTCACTTTTCATAAAATTTCCTTCTACAGAGTGCTGGTCGTTTTGAATCTTTGGAGCAGCTTATCCAGGACGAGGATTTCCCAGAAACAAAAAGATTGCTTCAGTGCGTAACCCCCAAGCAGCTTAGGTGCATTTCAGAAATTAAAGGTAAAACATTATAAAATTTATTAAAATATTATTCCAACTATCGTGACTTGCAGAAGTTGGTGATGATAAGTATTACCGGATCAACGAGGAGAAAACTCTCAGATGGCTCACCAAGAAGGTCAAACGGGTCAGTGAAGTTTTAAAGGAGAAGGGCATCCACGTGGGTCCGGGTGCGGTTTCGGCCAATTTCGTCCGAGGCTCAAGATATGTGGACGCAGACACAGCACCTGCAGAAACAGAGTTCCTTCTCTACGCCTTTGGCATTCTTTCGGAATACATATCAGCCGACTTGTGCATGAAACTGAGGAATGCACTGGACCTGCCAGAGGCAACAAGCAATGGTATAAAACCAAAATAAGGTTTTCTTTCATTTTGATTTTGCTTTCGACTCTTAGATTCAGGCAAAGGAAAGAAACGCAAAGCTGACGAATGTGATGCTGGTGATGGTAAAAAAACGAAAGTGGAAGAGGCCAAAGATAATGCTCCTTCAAGCACTTTTGTCCCCAAAAGTTCAGAGCCAAAGGTACAGTATTTCATTATTAACTTGAACATGTGTTATCTTTAAAATTAATTCTGCAGGCTGCTCCAAAGAAAGAAACTGCCAAGGACAAAGCTCTCGCAAGAGCAGCAGTTGGTACAAAGAGTATCTCCAACTTTTTTAAGAGGAAATAAATACCAGAGCTGAAAGACGAATTGCAGACTTAAAGGCTCTACTGACATTTTTCACCATTTTATATTTTGATATTATTTAAACGTTAACTTAAGCCTTGTGTGAGAACCTCTAAATTATATTTAGCAGCTATCATTAAAACTAAAATTTGTCTTCTTTTCTCTACCCCCTAAATAGTTTGTTAAAATATAAAGCCAAATGCAGGAGATTTAAGACACTTGGGCAATTCTAAAAATTGAGCAAGAGGTCAAAAGTAAGAAGTCTCAAAATAGTCAAAATAAAGTTGTATAACTTTGTTGTGCTTTTTATAAATCACATTACAAAGTATTTTGTTGTTCTCTACAGGTGAAATGTACATTTAATAATGTTTTATGGCAAAATTATGCAAACCAGAATGATTTTTCATATGGCTCTTTATGAGTAGAGATTTCCTAGACATTCACCTTCTCGTAAATAAGCAACTAATTTGTAAATTAAAAGCATTTTATTTTTCGAGGAAAATTTTATTTGTCACTTTCATCCAAACAAAACGTCCCCAATTCCCCCAACAACTTGCGCCACAAAGAATATACAAAATGAGGATTTCTAAGCAAAGAGCCAAAATTTGCAGAGCTTGTTGTCAAAGGAATCAATATAGAAAGTTTAATTGTAAGTGGATTTATGAGACGAGGGCCGAAGCTGTGCTGGACTCGTATTTCCAGTTGGGGGGAACCATGCTCTTGGTCTTGTAATAACGGGCCAGTCGGTGAATGCGCGACTCGACCAAGATGAGCCTGAACTTGGAATCCTTGTCCTTTCTGTTCCTCTCCAAATGCTTGCGGATAGCAACAGCCTTCTTGATAAGGTAATACAAATCCTCGGGCAGCTGTGGGGCAAGGCTCATGGCTTTCATGATCCTCATGATTTTGTTGCCGGTGATGAAGCGCACCTGGGCCACACCGTGCATGTCCCTAAGAATGACACCTAAGAAAACGGTGAAGACATCATTAGTTTGTTTATTTAAGAAAAATCGGCGTCGTTCGAACCAATCTGGGAAGGTGTCAGGCCCTTCTTGCCGAGCTTTTTGATGTGCTCCTTCACCTCGTCCGAGGTCAATTTCAACCAGGTGGGCACTCCTCTGCGGTACGGCAGGGCCGATTTGGAGATACCCTTTCCAGGCGCGTGCATACGACCCATCTTGGACCACTTCTAGATCACTTTCCGGTCGAAAAACTGCGAAATTAGACCAAACAGGTCGAAAACAACCACGCGGTCGGCAAATGACGTACACGAAGACTGATGGCGGAAATGGACCCAGACGGTGCTGCAACCTGAGCGAAGTGCGAAGTAACCACTTTTTAGCGGAAAATTCGAAAGTTAGTGGTGGCGCCACCGTCGGGCTTATGGCGGCGAGCGGACAAGACCTGACACTTGTGTAGCGGCCCTGTTTCGTCGAATTTCAGCATCGTTTTGAACTGGTACGTTAAAATAACTTTGAATTTCTTGACAGAACGTGTTTTACTCTTGATAACCATCAGCATCGGCTCGATTCGCGCCTTCGGTGGGAGTTAAAATTCCTCCAGCCGGCGGGGGTTGTCAACACGAGTGACTGCCTGGGCCGCGCTGTTTCTATTTTTTATTCGAAATAAAAAAAATCGAGGAGTTCACCGAGCGCGGTGCGAAAAAGTTAAGCGGGTGGTATATAAATAGCATTGGTTGACCACCAAATTTTTTTCCAAGTAAAATATTTTTCAGAAATGCACCGTAGTATAAATTATTTTTTTAATTATTATTTTTTTCTGCTCTGGAGAATCCTCCTCCTACAAAAAAATATGATAATCCAGATACAAACACATACTGATAAGTCAAAGTAATTATGCTTTTGTTGTCAAGAAGATATTGCGATAATAAAAAGCCATTAAAGTAGAAAATTCATTATGTATGTGTACGTAATTGTATGGACTAATCATTTCAAAATCAAGGCCCGTGAATTTTATATAATTATTAAAGTAATCAAAATTAATTCTTAATTTTGGAACAGTGATAATTTCATGTTAAGTTGTATTACGACCAGAAATAATACAAGATGAAAAATTTAATACATACATAGTAGGAATGGAGTCATGAGTCAAATAAATTTAGAACAAAACAAATTTTAAAGGTTAATTTTTGTTATTTAATTTTTATAATAAAAATCTAAATATTTGAATATAATTTGAAGTAAAATTTGATTTAAGTTAGAGTGTCCCTAAACAAAGGCTTGGTGAAACCGCAGCGATCTAAATTAAATATATTATATCATGCAAAGAACGATTCTCTCTCGCATCTTCCTCGGAGTCAAAGTGTGATGGCCTTGTTGGTTGTCACGCTATTACGCAAATTGTAAAACGCTGGCTGCGCAAACAACGATCTCTTGTTTCGAATCGACCGGCGCCTAAATTTCCCCTTACGCACGCATGCAGAGGTGTGATAAAGGGTTCTGCAAATATTTAAATTTTTTGTTCTTTCATTTGGCACCTCCTCTAGCTGTTTCTCCAGACCATTCGCTACTCCATATATCAGACGAAGTTTATTCAACCCAAAGTTCACTAATTTTAATTTCCTGTTGATGCCGTTGGGAATCTTTGATGATTTTTTTGCGGCTTCTAAAAATTATTTGGCTCTGTCCAGCAGTCACGCGCCTGGAGCCTGGTCTAAAATTAGCTTCAACTACGCAAATCGTCCGAGTCTATCCCGTTGACCACCTGAAAAAATACCAATCGCTCGGCACATTAATCTCAATTGAATGCAGAAGTGTGTACAGTACTGGACCAAAGCATTGGCTGCAGAATAAATTTACAAATTGCTTTCAAAGAAATTTAATTTTAAAAAAGTCTAGAAATTATTTCAATTATGAAGATTTTGAATGATGAGCTAAAAATATTTAAAAATAATACGTAAATGTTCATATATTCTGCTTATTTAAATGACTTGTGTAATTAATTTTATATCACTTTTGTTTTTTGAACAAGTTTTGATTTGATATTGTGCAAATTCCACAGGTGCTGTAGTCAATCAAAACACGATGGTGGCCATCTGGAGGCTGCCGTTGAACGCAGCCATCGCCCAGAAAAAGGGTGCCTCTGCCCTTGCCAGCAGGGCAATCAGCGTGTCTGTTAGGAGACTCGACAAGCCAGCTGCCGCCGCAAAAGATGCCGCCAAGCAATCGGCCACGGTGCCAGGTATCCCGTACTCGAAACTCACCATAGGTGTTCCAAAGGAAATCTGGCCCAAGGAGCGAAGGTAAATTAAAAAAAAAATTAATTTGTAATATCCACCTAGAACTTTTTCAACTGATTCACTTTGTAATTTAATAGAGTGGCACTGACTCCAACCGTTACCGCTGCCCTGATCAAACAAGGTTTTCAAGTGCAGTGTGAGGCTGGAGCGGGCAATGAGGCCAAGTTCCGTGATGACGATTTTGCTGCAGCCGGTGCAAAAATAGTGGATCGAAACAAGGTCTTCAATTCAGGTGAAACATTTACCTTTTGAATAAAATCAATATTAATAGAGAAAAAAATTCCAGACTTGCTGCTGAAAGTACGTCAACCTTTGAAAGAAGAGATCTCCTTTCTTCGTCCTGGCACCACTTTGATATCCTTTGTTTATCCTGGTCAAAACCAAGATCTTGTGAAACAACTGGCTGAGAAAAAGATAACGCTTTTTGGTAATTATATTATTATTAAAACATAATTATAATAATACTCCACAACTGATTGTTCCCAAAGCCATGGATTGCATTCCTCGCATCTCGAGGGCGCAGGTATTTGATGCCCTCAGCTCCATGGCCAACATTGCTGGTTACAGAGCTGTGATTGAAGCTGCAAACAACTTTGGTCGCTTCTTTACCGGCCAGATCACTGCAGCTGGAAAGGTTCCTCCGGCCAAGATTCTTGTTATTGGTGGTGGCGTTGCTGGTCTCGCTGCCATTGGCCAAGCCAAGTGTATGGGCGCCATCGTTCGAGCTTTTGACACCAGAGCTGCTGTGAAAGAACAGGTGAATATTTGTGCTTGGTGGGGAATATATTATCGACAATGTTGATTTCAGGTTGAGTCAATGGGAGCCGAGTTCCTAACTATAAATCTGAAGGAATCCGGAGATGGAGCTGGAGGTTATGCTAAGGAGATGTCTCCAGAGTTCATTGCCGCTGAACACGCTTTGTTTGCCAAGCAGGCAGCTGATGTTGATGTGATCATTACAACTGCTCTCATCCCGGGGAAAAAGGCTCCTCTGCTTATTCTGAAAGTAAGCCATAGCAATAAACTTGTTTTATGATTAAAATCAGTATTGTAGTTACAAAAAGTAAACACAATCAGTTTTCCGATTTCTAATTAAAAAAATTTAAAGGAACACATTGAGAAAATGAGACCTGGCAGCGTCGTTGTGGATTTGGCTTCAGAAGCCGGTGGCAACATTGAAACAACCAAGCCTGGCGAGCTTTACTCCTACAAAGACGTGGTGCACATTGGTTACACCGACTTTCCGAGCAGGTTGCCAACTCAGAGTTCCACTCTGTACGCCAATAACATCTCAAAATTCCTTCTCTCCATGGGTATTTGATTTATTTTATAAAATTTGATTTGTTTGCACTTTATAAATTAACAGGTGGAAAGGGCTCCTTTAATATTGACCTAGAAGATGAGGTTGTGAGGGGAAGCATCATCTTGAAGGATGGCACTGTAATGTGGCCTCCTCCGCCACCTCCTCCGCCAACACCTCAACAGATCGCTGCTGCAGCAGCACCTGCCAAGGCTGCAATCGCCGCACCGGAGCCTCCGAATCCATTCACTGTCACTCTCAAAGACTCCCTTGCTTACACAACAGGTTATTCTTATAAGCTTTCTTCTCGTAGACTCAAAATAAAATAATTATATTTGTAACACAGGCCTTGGAAGTTTGCTTGGTTTGGGAGCTATTTCACCAAACGCTTCTTTCACGGCAATGACCAGCACTTTTGCCCTGGCTGGTCTTTGTGGTTACCACACTGTTTGGGGAGTCACACCTGCTCTCCACTCTCCACTCATGTCTGTTACAAACGCAATTTCCGGCACCACTGCTGTTGGTGGTTTACTTTTGATGGGAGGAGGACTTTACCCACAAACACCTGTCCATGTTCTCTCAGCGGCAGCAGCTTTCATTAGCTGCATTAACATCTCGGGTGGATTCCTGGTCACCAAGCGTATGTTAGACATGTTCAAGAGGTTTGGCGTTTGTTTTTGAAAACTGCAGATGATTAAATAATTAATTATACAGGCCCGACGACCCTCCCGAGTATAACTACCTGTATGGAATTCCAGCTGCATTGTTCATTGGAGGCTACGGCTTTGGAGCAATGTCTGGGATTACTGAAATGCATCAAATGGCTTACCTGGGTTCTTCGTTATGCTGTGTAGGTGCATTGGCAGGACTGAGCTCTCAAAAAACATCTCGTCTTGGAAACTCCCTCGGAATGGTTTGTTTTTACAGACTTAAATTAAAATTGTTTCAAATTTATTTCATGCTCAGATTGGTGTTTCCGGAGGAATCGCCGCAACTCTTGGCCAACTGGCACCTTCCAACGATGTTCTTGCTCAAATGGCAGCCGTCTCTGGCGTTGGTGGCCTTCTTGGTGCCGTCATTGCCAAGAGGATTGAAATTACAGACTTGCCCCAACTGGTCGCTGCCTTTCACTCTCTTGTGGGCGCTGCTGCTGTTCTCACCTGCTTTGCCACATACATCCATGATTTTCCTACCTTTGCTGAGGATGCCGCTGCCAATGTCACAAAAACTGCCCTTTTCCTTGGTACTTACATCGGTGGAGTCACTTTCAGGTACAATTTCAACCCAATCTCGTACAACTTGAACACCTAAAATTAATTGATAAAAACAATAATTTAAAAGCTGGCTGTTTATTTAATTTAATTTTTCAGTGGCTCTCTGGTTGCTTATGGCAAGCTGCAAGGTATTCTCTCATCCAACCCTTTGCTCCTGCCCGGCCGTCACGCCATGAACCTTGGTCTTTTGGCTGCTAATGGTGGTGCCTTGGCCTACTATTTCATGACCCCCACCTTGGCCGGTGGTCTCTCAATGCTGGGAGCCACTGCTGGTCTCTCTGCCACCATGGGAGTGACTCTTACAGCAGCTATCGGTGGAGCTGACATGCCTGTTGTGATCACCGTACTCAACTCTTACTCCGGGTGGGCTCTGTGTGCTGAAGGGTTCATGCTCAACAACAATCTAATGACAATCGTTGGTGCCCTCATTGGCTCCTCTGGTGCCATTCTTTCATACATCATGTGCAAGGTATGAAATGTTGAGTTTGAATTGCATCATTAATTACATAAAATTGATTTGCAGGCGATGAATCGTTCTTTGCCCAGTGTTATCCTTGGTGGCTACGGAACTTCATCCACTGGAGGCGGAAAGCCAATGGAAATCACCGGCACTCATACTGAGGTTAATGTCGACGGTGCTGCTGAGATGATTGCTAATGCCAAGAATATCGTTATTACTCCTGGTAGGATTTTATTTCTTGATAGTTTAATTTACTAAGCACAGTTATTTATAGGTTACGGATTGTGTGTGGCAAAAGCTCAATATCCTTTGGCTGAAATGGTCAAAATCTTACAAAGTCACGGCAAGAACGTCAAATTCGCAATCCACCCAGTTGCTGGTAAAAATGATTAATTTCTCTTCTCCCACAATTTATTAAAAATTTCTTTTTCCAGGCCGTATGCCAGGTCAACTGAATGTGCTCTTGGCCGAGGCGGGAGTGCCCTACGATATTGTGCAGGAGATGGATGAAATCAACCCTGAAATTCCAGACCAAGACCTTGTTCTCGTCATTGGCGCCAACGACACCGTCAACTCTGCAGCAGAGGACGATCCCAACTCCATCATCGCTGGCATGCCCGTCATTCGAGTTTGGAAAGCAGATCAGGTAAATGATCTCTGAACACAAATTTTGAGTCAAATTCTATCTTATTAATTTTGTAGGTTATCGTCATGAAGAGGTCCCTTGGAGTTGGATATGCTGCAGTCGATAATCCCATCTTCTACAAGCCTAACACGTCCATGCTGCTTGGGGACGCAAAGAAAACTTGCGACGGTCTTCTATCGAAAATCAAGGAAATTTATCCTGACTAAGCGTTTTCCTTTATTTCTGCCATTGTACTTTGTGTCTTACTATTTGAATTTTTTCCAACTTGAAATCTATGTGCCATTTTGAGTTTCAACTTCTGAACTTCATTAGACTGCTGCGCAAACTAAAATTTAATTTCAAAGTATTATGTAGTGCTTGTGCTTCTACGTCTGCGTAACATAATCTGGACTGATTTTATACAATGTTTAAAATGGCAGTTTTAATCAAATTATTATTCTTTTTCAAGCCAACTTTATAACCATAGTGTCAACTCATGTAACATTATCATTTGTCTAGCTGAAGCAGGTAAATGATCTACAAATTTTATCATATTGGGTGGTCAGAGCCAATATTCCATTTTAATGGTAGATTAGATTTGTATGCTGGTTGCAGCAAAAAACAAACAAATAGCCTTTGATGTAATCAATGTGTACTAGATGAACACGGTACAAATCGACAAATCAGGTGCAATGTGTTGTGCATTTTGCTTATGAATCTACCTATAACGGAGCCCATTTGGACCCATTTCCAAAATAAAGAATTAACTGTAAAGTAAATCTATTGTGTAATTTATTGAACACACTATCGAGACGTAAATTATCTCAATAAATGAATTCCAATCTACATTGCTTAGTCTTTCAATTAGACATTAAATAATATTTTAATGAGTCTAATTTCCGAGCAAAGTGAAAATGAAAATTCGCCGTAAATGAAAATTTCTGCAGAAATATGATTCAAATAATGAATTATTTCCAACACAAGTGCGACGGATATGCACCATTTGAAAAGAAAGTTAAATTATGATTATGTATTATATTTTTTGCATCCAGTTGTACACCATAAAGGTATCCATCTCTTTTTTTTTATTTTCCTTTGAAATAATCGAAACAATTTCTTTAATTATATGCTGCTCAGCTTCCAGTCTGTTTACTCTGTTTTGTCTTTGTCGCTCAACATCATAAGTTTTGAAAAATAAAATAACCAGTGTGTAAATTATGTACTTCCTACATGTTCCCACAGAAGATTTGAAAACATGATACATATAAAGGGACGTTTTTACTCCACAATCCCAGAGGTGGGGTGATAACCGAATAGTGGGGGTTGAGAAATGAAACATTAGTGCAACACATTAAAAAAATCATATTATACTTATTACTTGTCTTGAAGAAAAAGTTACTTCCCTCCACCCTCCTTTTCTTCTTCCCCTACTGCGGTCTCTCAACTACTTGTCGCTTGTTCTTCTGATTTGTCTGTTGTCAGTGCCTCAGCCGAGCTCCGACTTCGACCTCGCTGTGGAGACTGTTCGTGCAAGTGGCCGCTTTGTTCGTAAGGACAACGAGTCTGCTGACGGACTGAAAGCCGCGTGTCCCGACGACCGTCTGACTTGACCGGCAAACCAGGCTCCGCAGTGCTGAAGTGCGACCGGACAGATCGTTCACCAAGAGCGCATCTCATTTGAGGACGATCGCAAAAAGAGGCTGGCGACTTTGACCGACGCTACTGAAATTTCAAATCAATCCGAGGTAAGAATTTTTCACTATCAACTCTAAAATAATATGTATTTATCTGTGGAAAACGTTGAATTTTCCCCGGACATGATTGCGGCTCGATCTCCTTGTCATATTTTGCATGGGGATTTTCAAATTCAACCTTACTCGATGGGTGCGAATTTTTAAAGTTATATCCTGAAAAAAGCGACCCGATTGAAAAAAAAAACTTTAACGAAGCGATCTTTTGTGACATGTGAGCCTGTGCGTTATGGGTCGATTGCAAATTCTCAGCCTCGACGAGATGAATTTTTTGGTGGCTTTGCAAAAGAATTTTGTGTGTCGGAGCTTGAAATATTATGCCATGCATCGTCCATTTTACAACTTTAAATTTTTGTTGGGCCAACATTACAAATTGTTAATTAAAAACAAAATAATGAAAGCCCAAGAAGTGATTTCCGTTGGGCCTGTGCGTGAACGCCGAACGGTTTTAATTTGCCCATACAGCCGCCATTTTAAAAGGATTACTTTTTGCCGTTATTTATCCCGTGTTTCCAATTGTGCAATTTATATAATGACGCGTGCTTAGTATTCTTTTGCACGACGATTAAACAATTTAACAGGTCGGAGAGATTAAATTTTCCAAGTCAGCATTAAAAAATCATGCAAGACTTTTCTCATCCATCGTTTGATTTTATTAGAAAAAAAGCAAAGCAAGAAATGCTTTCCAAATTTGTTCAGAATAGTACATATTTTGTGTTCGGATACGTTTCGCATCCGTGGAGTGACAAGAAAAAGGACGCGTTTTCGTTCGCTTGCGTTTGAAACCGTTCGAACTTGTTCGTTTTCCGCATTCCGCCTCTCTTCCTTGCCGCCAGAAAGCAGACGCAGACCGTGCGCTTTTGGCAAGATCCTTGGCTTTTGGGCAGGAGTTTGGAAAGGTCAATGACACAGAACTCGACGCGCTATCCGAGATTCGTCGCAGACTGTGAAGCGAATACTTAACAAATGTCCAGCCGTTTTCAATAAGAGCATGTATTTTGTAAAGCGCCTAGTGACCTTGATGATCAAATAAAGTTGTTATTAGATATTATTTTTTTAAGTTGAAAACGGCTAAAGATTTTTTGATGAAATTTGAGATCTAATTGTAAGGTCAAAATTAAATTTCCAGTCAATTGGCTGTCTTGAAATAATTGTCAAAAATTTATTTCATTCTGAAAAATATCAAAGTTTGACTTTGATTCCTCAAGCGGCAAATAAAAAAAAAATTCTGACGTCATCTGCACTTGAAAAGAAAAGAAGGATAATTTAATTGGCTACATTTTGCTATTTAAGTTTATATTTTTAAAATTTTTTCTCAATTAGAAATATTCAACGCAACAAAAATGCTTTATAACTCCGCTCCTAATAAAGATTTTTTCAAAAATAAAAAATTAAACGTTTTGTCGATTCATCAGCTATCAATGCTGAAAATATGAATTTTTTATATAAGACAGTTTTTAATTGGCGCCGATCTCAATAAAACCAAGCGAAGTGCTTTTTAATTTTCCTCCCTCCTTCTCGCGGCGAGAGCGGCACGTCTCTCGCCGCCGTCCAGACTTGTTCGCTCTTGTCTTCGAGGGTGGAGCAGCAGCGGCCGCCAGCCAGCAGGAGGAAGGAAAAACATGGCGAATGCGCAAAAAAGTCCACGGACTGAAATTTCAATCGCCAAATTCGCCAATGAAATCACCGAATTTTCGACCACCCTGGTAATATGTTGTTCGTATACCGCTTGGTTTTATATGGAAATGCAGTAATAGCGAGGGGTCAGCGCTCCTTTAAACAAAAAATAATGTAGTCTTCTCTTGATCTCTACTCAAAGCTCACGTTTCTATTGTGACCAAAATTATTTAAATATATAGAAATAAATTGCTTTAAAAAAATTCAACTAATTTGTGTTATATATTTTTTTGTGGAAAAATGGAAGATTAAAAAAAGTTTTTCTAATAAAATTATTAAGTTTATGAGGAATAAAAAGTTAAAATTTATGTTCCAATTCTTGTTAAAATGAATTCACATCTCATGAATTACGGCTGCAGTCCGCTGTCAAAACATGTAGAGCAAGAAATATTTTTCGTAAACAATTAACAACTCACAAAACACAGACGGAGAGTAAATCACTATTGTTGACTATGGAATGCGTTTTAAGAAAAATCGCTTATTGGAATCAGATTGGAATATTTTTAATTAAGCGATTCTCTCACCCTTGAGGCCAATAACGACATCTTTATTTTAAAAATCTATTGAAAACAATAATATTTTGCATTTAAATCCCGTTTCCGATTTCATTATTTTCGCTGAAAAAAATAATTATTTCAATTTAATTTATAATTTAATGCCGTACTTCACAAAAATTTTCTATGTTTAGGACAGAGAAACAAATTTTATACTGAAAATAATTTTAAATTGCTCTGCCTATGTATCAGACACAGGAGAGAAAAATTCTTCCTTTGCGATGAGGTGGAGATGCCTCAGGGGCTGTGTATTGTTTCCCTTATGTTATTTTTACTTTCCACCTTCCACCTTCCCCTTATAACAAATAGGTGTCTAATAAACTGAATAGAATAATTTGTATGACGTGGAATAAAAATTAAATGTAGAGCGCTTTCTCTTTTTATTAATCAGTCATTTTTCGTAAATTAATAAATTACATTGCATAATTGATAATATTTGCATAAATCGAGGCTTACAAAGCAAAATATGTAAATTGAAATAGTGCTATCCAAAAGCATCAACGATATCAGAATATCACCATGTAAAATTTAATTAAAATTTTCATAAATGCGAAGTCCACGATTGAGTAGTCGCGCGAACGAAGTTTGATGCATGCGCGGCCCATAAGTCGTCCACAACCAGTTTGCTGGGCGAAATTTCTCCTGTTGCGCGGCTCAAGCGAAGTTTGTGCAGAGTAATTTTTTATTTAAATAATACATAATTGAAAGACAGAATTATTATTATTGATCTTTATTGACATATGAAGCGTCGCCACGATGTAATGACTCATTGCAACGCGCCCCATTTGCAAATTAATTTTAATAATATTTTAAAAGAATAATTTATAGTTATAATTCAATAAATTTGTAATAAATAAAATTAAAAAAAAGCTGGTCTTTCTCTATGCTATGATTGGTGGTATTTGCGCTTAATTAAATAAATAAACTGATTCAAATTTAAACATGAACTTGTCACATTTTCGTATTTTCCAGATATCTAGTTCACTATAAATAAATTTGATTGATAATTATTTGTTTTTTTAGCTCAAATTTCAAAGTAATATTAAATAGAAACAAATTATGATGAAGGTTAAAAATAATATAATTGAATTTCCATCAAGCATCACAAGATATTATCAAGTATTTTACCGATTCGATCTAAAAGAAAAATTTATTCCAACACGGTGCAACACGGCATTGCCAAAAAAGAAAAAAAAAATCACCGCTTTAAGCAGTGGTGTGGAATAATTATTTTAGTCCTCTCTTAATTTGTTTGTTTTGACTGTGGCTGTGTCATCGGAGAACTTCATTGTTTTTTTTTATTATTATTATTCAATTAATTTTCGGCTTACAATTAAATTCATTTTTTAAGGGCTTTCTTTTTAATTATTCTTTTTTAATTTCTGGCAATTGTTTTAAGTTGAATTCTTACAAATAAATCTTGCATTTATTTTAAATTTAAAGTAGCTTTAAATTTACAAATAATTATTATAAATTCAATTGGAATTAGCTTGTACAATTCATGGGATTCCAATTCACTTCAAGGGAATTTATAAAGGCATTTTAGAATTCAACTGCAGATTCACAGAACTTTCTAGATGCATCTAGAAAGTTCTCAATGTAAATCAAATGGGTGGGTGGGTTTTGCACGACCCTCCCAGGGCTGCTACCCGCGCTATAAAAGGCGCTCCGTCCGCTGGCTCGATGCAGAAGGCTGACAGACCTCAGAGAAATCAGAGGACACCTGGACTTCCAGTGCAGTTTCGGACACCCGTCCGAACCCTTCGCACTCGTCCGAGCCGTCCCAAGGCCCCGACCGCTGTCTCGTCCCGACGCTGCCTCGTCCGAGGACAGCCGGAAGGCCGACCGCGTCCCGAGCCCCTCGAGCGGCACGCCTGTGTCCATCGTACTGTCCGGGGTGTGGCCGAGCCGTCCGAAGCCGTACGGAGCAGTTTTGCCAGGTAAGAGAAATTACAATTGTTTCTCCCTGAGGCCTTCTTTTGGCCAAAAGGTCAAACCACTACGTGAGACGGAAGTACAGCCGAGTGACCCATTGTTTTTGTCCCCAGCTCCTTCCTGTCCGAGGAATCGGGCGCCGACGTGGCACGCCGCCAGCGAGCGCTCGGACGAAGGCGTCCGAACGTCCGCCGCCAGAGACCCGCACGCCGTGGGCCCCGGCCGCGCCGAGAGCCGCCGCCGACCTGCAGGGAGCCGTCCGGGTTCCCAGCAAGGACGTTTCCAGGGCAGCCTGCCGGCCTACCCAGGGAACACCGCTCCCATTTGTTGATTTTTAAGTGACACTATACGGACAATTTCGAGCCAGTGAATTTACCCTATCCAGCCAGAATTGTTGTGAATACAATAAAGCCCGTGTGTAAGCCAACTTACATTGTTTTAAACAATTACAAATTAATCATAATAATTTACACAATAGAAATTACTGAACAATTACCCATTAATAATTTATTAAGCAATTAAATAATCAGTCAGTATAATCATATGCAAACCCCTTACTTGCAACTTCTTATTATCATTTTGGTTTGCAATAAACTAAATTTGTAATACCAATTGGCGATCCTGGCACTCCTGGGGATTATACTGACAAACACAATAAACAAATTACAATTTACACAATTTTTAACACTCTATTTTGTTAAAATACAATGGCAGACAAAGAACAACTGTCTCCTTTATTTTTAAATCAAATTCATTTTGGACCCCTGGCTGCTGAGCAGATAACAACGGGGTGTGACCCTGGAGGGTGTGACCCTGGAAAGACTCTACAGCTGTACAAGTCGGACGACAACGACCCAATTGCACAAATTTCCCTCCCACTTCAACAACAACAAACACTTCTTTCTTGCCAATACCAGCAGTACACTCAGGTGGATGTCCTGCACCCTCAGGAGCACCTCCTCCCCTTGGACGGCGCATCACAGGTTGGCCAACTGCTGCCTGAACACCCAGTGTCCCACATCAATCACGACGAGGCGCCAAAACCAGACGTACTCACAGAGGGACCTGAAAGAAAAACTGGTCAGCAAATATTTTATGACAGATTATACAAACAAACAGAAAACAGGGCAACATCACTACACACTACACAATTGTCCAACCAGACACAAAATGGGCAATATTTTCAACCCAAGTTGGACTTGACATTAATCCCTGTATTCTCTGGAGACAAAATATTGCTGGAGGATTTTCTTATCAGCATTGCTGGATTTTTCACCTACCAACAACTGCAGCCAAAAGATGTGTGGTGGTTGTTACTTTTCCGCACTTCTGGACGAGCAAGGGAGTTTGTTAAGCATCTTGACGAGGCCACCATCAGCAACTTCTCCTCACTCCAGAAGGTTTTTCAAGACGAATTTGAGCCGCCAGTAAGCACCTTGCAATTGCACAGAAAATTTGTAAAAGCCTGTCAGCTTGAGGGGGAAAGTTCAGAGGAATTTTACCTACGTGAAGAGAGCTGGCAGACAAATTGTGGCACCAGGAGCAACTAATTGTTGGATTAAGTTTAAAACAAAACTTTGAGGTCAGAGAAGAGGAGTTTCTGCGCATTTTCATCCGTGGCCTACGAGTCGACTTTTATTGGCAGGTGTACATCCGGCAGCCAAAATCAATTCTTGAGGCACGCAAAATCGCCATTCTCGTTGAAGAAACTGCCAAACACATTAAAGATAGATTAAATGAAGACTTCCAGCAGGAAAATAGGCAAACTCACCAACACTGTTTCCCTCAACAACAAAATTTTCCTCCACTTGCTGCCTTCAGAAGCCACCCTCAAATGAACCAACGCTGGCCAGGGCCATTTCCCGCTGCTTCGAGTCCGCAATACTCATCGGCAGTTCCTCCACTCTCCAGTCCGTTTTCCTCCCAACAATGGCTGCCAGCCATTCCACCTGGTGCAGTGCTTCCACCATTTCCGTCAAATTTCCATGAACAGACAGAATCAAGTTCATCCAAAGCACCTTCTAACCTGAGGGGGAACGAAGAAAATGTGAATGAAAATAGTGCAACTTTTTCAGAAAATTTATTTACCAGCAACTCCACCTCTCACGCTCCATGTCCATTCTCACCTCCGTCAAACCAAAAGGATATTGTCCATACCCACCGACCATCCGCCAGCAACGACCACGTCCCTTCTGCGACTCGTAAAGAGAAACGTCGACGGAAAAGACGGTTCAAGCGACGACAACAAAGGGCTTCTAAAGCGAGCTTGCCGTGTCGCACAGTGTCCAATCAGGTTTACGAAGACAAAATTTCTGCAAATGAAGAGAAAATCTTGAGTGCATTGAGCCGGTTAATACAGCCAAAACTTACCCCACCTGCCGACCACATCGCCCAGCATGCATTTACTTGCCGACGGCACCGCCGACAACGCCGACAACCGACAGATAAGGCCGAATTTGCCATTAAAACTCCCACACAAAAAACCACAACGAGTGCGGCAAATAAACAACGTGGGCCAGCTGTTATCTGTGGCGGCCAAAAAGTCAATGAACTTTTCACAAGAGGGGGAAGAAAAATCAGCAGGAGAGAGATGAGAGTGGCGCCACAACCAAGTTCGCCATCAAGCCAGGAGAGGGAGAAGGAAAAATCAGCGCACAAAGGACCAAGACCTCGCCCTCGCCGCATGCGAACAACAACAACAACAAGGCCGGATTCACGCGTGATTATGGTGCCCACGACGTTTTTCCTTGAGGACAGCGCCAGCTCAGGATCTGGACAGTCTACGTGCAGTACGTCGTCCTGGCAATCGTCCTGGAGATCATCCAGTCACAGCTGACCACAGCCGCCAGTCAAAAGAGGGGGATTTGGTGTGGAATAATTATTTTAGTCCTCTCTTAATTTGTTTGTTTTGACTGTGGCTGTGTCATCGGAGAACTTCATTGTTTTTTTTTATTATTATTATTCAATTAATTTTCGGCTTACAATTAAATTCATTTTTTAAGGGCTTTCTTTTTAATTATTCTTTTTTAATTTCTGGCAATTGTTTTAAGTTGAATTCTTACAAATAAATCTTGCATTTATTTTAAATTTAAAGTAGCTTTAAATTTACAAATAATTATTATAAATTCAATTGGAATTAGCTTGTACAATTCATGGGATTCCAATTCACTTCAAGGGAATTTATAAAGGCATTTTAGAATTCAACTGCAGATTCACAGAACTTTCTAGATGCATCTAGAAAGTTCTCAATGTAAATCAAATGGGTGGGTGGGTTTTGCACGACCCTCCCAGGGCTGCTACCCGCGCTATAAAAGGCGCTCCGTCCGCTGGCTCGATGCAGAAGGCTGACAGACCTCAGAGAAATCAGAGGACACCTGGACTTCCAGTGCAGTTTCGGACACCCGTCCGAACCCTTCGCACTCGTCCGAGCCGTCCCAAGGCCCCGACCGCTGTCTCGTCCCGACGCTGCCTCGTCCGAGGACAGCCGGAAGGCCGACCGCGTCCCGAGCCCCTCGAGCGGCACGCCTGTGTCCATCGTACTGTCCGGGGTGTGGCCGAGCCGTCCGAAGCCGTACGGAGCAGTTTTGCCAGGTAAGAGAAATTACAATTGTTTCTCCCTGAGGCCTTCTTTTGGCCAAAAGGTCAAACCACTACGTGAGACGGAAGTACAGCCGAGTGACCCATTGTTTTTGTCCCCAGCTCCTTCCTGTCCGAGGAATCGGGCGCCGACGTGGCACGCCGCCAGCGAGCGCTCGGACGAAGGCGTCCGAACGTCCGCCGCCAGAGACCCGCACGCCGTGGGCCCCGGCCGCGCCGAGAGCCGCCGCCGACCTGCAGGGAGCCGTCCGGGTTCCCAGCAAGGACGTTTCCAGGGCAGCCTGCCGGCCTACCCAGGGAACACCGCTCCCATTTGTTGATTTTTAAGTGACACTATACGGACAATTTCGAGCCAGTGAATTTACCCTATCCAGCCAGAATTGTTGTGAATACAATAAAGCCCGTGTGTAAGCCAACTTACATTGTTTTAAACAATTACAAATTAATCATAATAATTTACACAATAGAAATTACTGAACAATTACCCATTAATAATTTATTAAGCAATTAAATAATCAGTCAGTATAATCATATGCAAACCCCTTACTTGCAACTTCTTATTATCATTTTGGTTTGCAATAAACTAAATTTGTAATACCAGCAGGTTGTAGTGATGAACTCTGTTTTACTTCAATGCTCTGTGCTTTGAGTTCATTTTGGTCAGGAAATGTTTAAAATTTGACAGAAAATGTTTAAACACTTTTGATTGCATTTCTTCTCTCCAAATGCGCGCGTGCAAGGTAAAAAGTGGGGCCAAATCTAAACGGCTCTTTCAGTTTTGATCACGAAGATAACGTGATTTTTGCAAGCTACGTTCGAATATTAAAATTGATTTCCAAATCATCATTAATTTTCCAATTTTAATATAATTCAGCCTGGAAATATTTCGTATTTCAAATATTTGATATAATTAAAATTAAGAAAACGAATTCATCCTCTAAAAGAACGATTAAATTGTCATATCAGAAGTTATTTTTCAATTCCCCGATATCATTGGCTCCCCGTATAGAGGCATCTGCTAAACTTATTAGCATAAATGAGAATCAGGTGTCCCACACTGTCCCCGATTTTTTCGACGATTTTAATCAGGCAGTTTAAAGCCGAGAATGAATGAATATAATGTGAAACTATAAGCTCGTCAGACCAGAAGAAGTATGAATCCTGTTGTACATACACTTAAAACACGTTGCATCTATTGCGGTGTTTTATGTTTCACACGTCCCGTCAAATGACAAATTCAATACTCGCATCATAACGTTAATTTGTAAATATAAAATATACAAATCGTTGTGCTGCCACCAAAAGACGTCCTGATTAAGATAGGAAAAAATTAACTTTGTCCAATTCGTGAATGATTTTTGCAAACACTGTTGGAAAACTTTCAAATTTATTTTGTAGAATGCATAATTTCTGTTTGCATAAATATTTTAATATTATATTTAACATTACACTTTCGAACATTCAAATTTACTAAAGGTGATTTTCTACACTATGTGTGTGTGTGTTGACAAAAGGCCATGAGCCATCAAAATGCATCCTATACGAGCAGACTTAGAAGGAGAAATTAAGATGCGAGAACCCCATGTTAGTTGCAGACTGTCAGCCTTCGGCCCTTATTAAATAAAAAAGATTAATTTCCTAATAATAATATATTTTTTGTGATATTAGGACCTTCACCACAACCCCACCCAGAATGAGAGGAGAAGCAAAACAATTTCACCTTGATCATTTTGTCCAAGGATCAATTGGCAACTGCTGGATTCTGTCAGCCTTAGGTTCAATTATTGATGACCAGGAAACATTGAAATTTTTGTTCCCTGACACTAATGACTCACAAGATTTTTACGGCACAGTGGTGATCAGGTTAGACTTTCTAAATTAGATTTTTGAAATATTGGTCAAATATGATTATAATTTAATAGGTGTTATTGCAAGGATGGTAAATGGGAAGAGGGACTAATTGACCACCGCCTCTGTGCTAGTTCATATTCTGGAGAGCTTGTGTTTACTGGACCATCAGAAATGTGCGAGGAGGACCACCTTATTTTGTGGGCAATGTATATTGAGAAATACCTTGCAAAGTATAAATCACCACCATTTGTTTATTTTCATTACTTAATTATTGCTCTTTCTGTGTAGGGGTTTTGGATCCTTCGAGTCCATCGAAGGAGGGTACATGGATGAGGCTTTTACTCTTTTTACTGATGGCACAACCCTAAGCCTCCGCCTATTTGAAGAGCAGCCTCGCACTGTCCTGATGCTCCTGGAGCACGTGCTCGCCCTCAATGGGTTTGCTGCTGCTGCAACAGAGGTAAAATTTCTCTATAAAGGAAATATTCAGTAAAAGTGATATTTTTCGTGGAATTTAGAACTCGCAAAATACTGAGCTACTCAAGAATTTGCAAACAGGGCACGCTTATGCCATTTTAGATGTGTATTATGTTGACGTTGAAGCCGGGGCCGCTAACAGAGGGGTTGCCTTCAAAGAAATTTTGCTAAGAATCAGGAACCCTCACGGCCAGAAGTCACCAAATGTGGCTTGGAGCAACAAAAAGTATGAAAATATATATATAATTTCCTGTGGTAATCGAACATTGAAATATATATTTTATTTGCGCAGTCACAGCTTGTGGTCTCGTGTGTCAAAAGCTACCAAAGAAAGAGTCGGTTACCACAGATTGCACAGCGGAGAGTTTTTCTTTGCCTTCAGCGACTTCTGTCGTCATTTCGAGATTTTGCAAATTTGCAACAACTCGTTGCCACCGACAGCTGGTGTGTTCGTCAGAGGTCAACAAACTACAGAGGTCTTCACTCTTGACGGTTGCTGGGAGCTCGGATACTCAGCTGGAGGGTCTGACGATCATGAACATGGTAATAAAAATATAGCCCAACATTCTTTTCTCAAATTTTGAATAAAAATTTTGTTTTAGCACCTTTCGTAACCAATCCCAGCTTCGTTTCCAAGTGAATGATTCAAACACCAAGAGCAGCTGTGTTTGGATCCGCCTCCTTGTTAAAGGACAAAGAGAAATCTCCCTCTTGAAAGATGATTACGAGCCATTCTACTACGGTTTTGATATTTACAAGGTAAAAAAAATTATATAAAATTCAAATTTGTTCTAAAAAGCTGTTTTTAATTGTTCAGCTGAACTCTGCTGATACAGAAATCAACGCAGATTTCTTACAATCAAACGAGCCCAAATTTAGAGCCCAATTAGACTTTTTAAGTCAGAATTCTGCAATTCTCGAGCTTGAAAGTGGTTTTTACATTTGCATGCCTTACACGGAGAATCCTGGAATTATGCAAAATTTTCTCTGAAAGTGGCTATTGAGAATGAAGGATGTCTCCGATGGTACTTATTTTTCAATTTGTAATTTCTTTATCATATTATTTTGGCAAATTTTCCTACTCCTTCCAGTGAAATCATCGATGCCATCGGAGAGTGGCTGGAAAGTCAGGTCTTGAAGTACCCAGATACTTCCCCCCAAGAAAAAGCCCGTAGAAGAAAAGCCCACGATCTGCGATTGAAAGCTAGAAGGAAATTGTGATTCCTGTCCACAAAGCCAAAATCGCCTGCACATTTTAGTTCATTCTGATTGAGATTTTCAAAATTTTCATCGTTTCATCATACCTTTAATTCCAATCAAAATAATGCTGATCGTGAATCACATCAAGGAGGAGTAGATTCACACAGCAACAACACACTCATGAGAGAATGCATCTCCAGGGATATCAACTTCATTGGCTTTGCAGCTAAACTTTGCCAGTGACGTAGATAAGGACATTATGTGCAATAGCTGAGGCGGAACAGTACTCTCCTCTCATCGCTCCGGTCAACTACAAGCTGTTTTCCCTTTAAATAATAGATAATTCTTATTTTGACCCTACTTTACACTGGACCAATTTGTTCTGCGCATTTGCGCAAAGAATCTTTTTGTCCTTATCGGATTAGTGCTTATTTTTCAGTATATTTGTGTATAAATATGCAAATTTCTAATTTATAAAGGTACAGAAACTTAGAAAATTAAAAAAAAAAATCTCTTTTGAGGCTTACTTTGAGCATTGTAAATTTAATCTGTAACTTCTATAGAGAATAATTGAGAATTCTCAATTCTTAACAGAGTCATTTTTATGCTCGAGCAGTTGTTTAGACTTAGAGACCGTCTTTCATTCTGAAGGAAATTTAATTCTATGATTTTTATATTGTATAAAATAATTGAATATTAAATTTGAGTGCACCATTTTCCCTTAATATTTCTTAAAACCCAGTCATCGTTATTATTTTAATAAAAGTGATTTGAATTTTAGCACTCAAAAACTAAAGAATTTCTCCCTGCCTAAATTGGCTTAAATCATTTTTTATTAGTGGAAATGAAAAGTTCATTGAGGGGATAAAATCTGCTGCATAATTTCAATTTATTTATTCTCTTGCAAAATGTCATGATATAGTTTGAAAAGCTGGCCAAAAGAAAGTTGACAAGCAGTCTGACCTGCTTTTAATCCAAGCTACATGTTAAAGAAGTAAAATATTATTTTAAGTTCTAATTCTAAATGAAAATATTTTTAAATCAGATGAAGTGAACAGGCCACCCGCCTCGGCCAAGAGCACATTCAGTTGACCTGGCATACGGCCTGGAAAAAGAAATAAATTTAATAAATATTCGAATTTTTTCCAACTTGAAATCTATGTGCCATTTTGAGTTTCAACTTCTGAACTTCATTAGACTGCTGCGCAAACTAAAATTTAATTTCAAAGTATTATGTAGTGCTTGTGCTTCTACGTCTGCGTAACATAATCTGGACTGATTTTATACAATGTTTAAAATGGCAGTTTTAATCAAATTATTTTTCTTTTTCAAGCCAACTTTATAACCCTAGTGTCAACTCATGTAACATTATCATTTTGTCTAGCTGAAGCAGGTAAATGATCTACAAATTTTATCATATTGGGTGGTCAGAGCCAATATTCCATTTTAATGGTAGATTAGATTTGCATGCTGGTTGCAGCAAAAAACAAACGAATAGCCTTTGATGTAATCAATGTGTACTAGATGAACACGGTACAAATCGACAAATCAGGTGCAATGTGTTGTGCATTTTGCTTATGAATCTACCTATAACGGAGCCCATTTGGACCCATTTCCAAAATAAAGAATTAACTGTAAAGTAAATCTATTGTGTAATTTATTGAACACACTATCGAGACGTAAATTATCTCAATAAAAGAATTCCTATCTACATTGCTTAGTCTTTCAATTAGACATTATATAATATTTTAATGAGTCTTTCCGAGCAAAGTGAAAATGAAAATTCGCCGTAAATGAAAATTTCTGCAGAAATATGATTCATATAATGAATTATTTCCAACACAAGTGCGATGGATATGCACCATTTGAAAAGAAAGTCACATTATGATATGTATTATATTTTTTGCAAATTGTACACCATGAAGGTTTATGTGTTATGTATTCATCTCTTTTTTTTCCTTTGAAATAATTTCTTTAATTATGTGGGCAAGGCCATTCCGTCTGCCTTTTACAAATAAGGCCAATCAAAAGGGAAAACAAACATTTAAAAAATATTTTTGGCAAGAATTCGTTTTAAAAGAAAAATCGCAAAAATTACAACATATGTCATGTAATTTTTTTGTATCAAATTCCAACGACCCGCTGCAAAAATTGAGATAGTAAATTGGATAAATTCATTGGAAGTTATATAATATTTAATTTTTAATGGAACTTTGTGTTCTGTCAAATATTCCACATTCTGAAAACTAAAAATTATAAATTTTTATCATTTTTCGCCGCTCATGGCAGCAGTTTATAGCTTAGAGGGGATGATTTGAGTGAGTCAAATGTATTGGCTTCATTTCTTATTAATTATGTAGATATTTTGGATATTTTTTCTGTTTTTTGTAAAAAGCAGGATGTCGCTTTGTGCAAGTCAGGCTGGATTGGCGCCAAACGAAGCCTCGCCTTCATTTGTCAACCACACTCTTTTCCTCAATATGGCGTCGGGTGAGTTGAATTTGTGTTTGACACGTGATGATTTTCAATCTATTACCGGCTGATGAGGTTAAAATTTTCCTCAAACGTAACCTGACGGCTCGCAAGTGTTCTTCCGAAGGCGGCGACGTCATTGGTGGGTTCGTCCGAGGCGCGGTTTGGACGCTTCGGACAGCCACCTGTGAGCGCGCAAACTTCGGGGAACCATGCTTTGCCAAATCTCCGGCCACATGTCGTCGGCTTCGGTGGCGTTCGCCTTCGTTGAGTGCTGATTTTTCATCTTGAAATTCGCAGGCAAGAAGGTAAAGAAGAGCAAAGGGAAGACCATCAACCTGAATGACTTCCTGGCGACGGACAACGGGCCCACGCCGGGACAGGCGGTGGTCATGGCTCCAAGGAAAATCACGTCATGGGCCGATGAGGTCGACGACGACAATGACTGTAATTGAACTATTCAAACTCTTGATTCTTTTGAGCAACCTTTACTAAACGCACAATCAAATTTAAAATCTGACACAGCAAAAATATTTATGCATGCAGTTATTGTCAAAGAACCAAAAAGCAAAATTAATAATAGTTTACTTGCATCTCAATTCTGTAAACGCCCATATTTTTACAAATTATATAACTCTGGGAATGTACTTGTTTTATAGCCTTATAATTAATCCAGAATATTTGACTTAAGGCTGAATTAAATGTAATTGATTTTAAATTTTGTTGGCCTGTGGAAAAGCAATTGTTAGAATGTGCTTTTTGCAATTTTATAAATCTAGAAAAAATGTTATTCACAGCCTATGAGACTACAAAGCAACGAGTTGTGTTGCCGACTGCGCCGAGAGCAGCGCGAGGAGCGGAAGTTGACGAGGAAAGAATTCCGCATAACCCGCCGTACATGGCGTATGTTTCAAATTTGCCATATGACGCTGATGAGGAGGACCTGATTGCATTTTTTGGAGATTTGAAGGTAGGGTAATTTTTGGGTATTAAAATTGGCTAATTTTCATTTTCGCAGATCCTCGAGGTCAAGCTGCCGAAAGATGATCGCAGTGACAATGGAAAGCTCAAAGGCTACGGCTATGTTGAGTTTGAAGAGAGAGGTGACTTAAAAGCCGCACTCTGCATGACGGACACAGTAAGATCAACGAGACTCTTGTGAAATAAAATTATTGATTTCATAATTTAGAACCTGAAAACCAGAAGAATCCGCATTGATGTGTCTGAAAATGAGAGGAGAGGAGGCATGGGTGGCCGTGGGCGACCTGACTACTCGGATCGGCCGATGACTGACTGGCGGTCAGGTCCTCGTGACGAGCCTCCCAGAGACAGGGAGGGATACGGAGGAGATAGAGGAGGAGATAGGGAAGGTAAGTTTTGAATTCCTGATCAAGAAATTTTTTTTAAATATTTTTTATACATATTTATTAGAAAAATGGGTGATCTCAATCTTAAGATGTGTGTTTATTGATTTAAAGCGTTTAATTTCTCCATCAGTGAAGATCTTAAACAATGGAACAATGAACATCACATTTTTTTTTAAATAAAAATGTAAAAATGAATAATTAGATTTCTCATTGATCTTTTAGTGCCTTTTCCTAAAAAAGATATTCTTTTTAATAAAATCGAATTCTTAATTTATTTTGTAAAGCCTTTGAAGTAGGTGCTAGAAAGCTGTTGATTCATGCACTTGAATGTCCCCTGGTTAACCTGATTCTGGGTTGCTAGGTCTAAGAGTGTGCTAAATCAATGTGCTTCTCAGACACCAAATTCTCAATTTCTTGAAGATTTGGTCGAATTGATTGCCACACTTGTCATGTATTTTGTTTAAGTTGTTTATTTATAAATTACCCTTGTTTCTCCTAGAGCTGTGAACTAACTTTGGCCTTATGCTTTAGGTGGATTTGGACGTCGAGGAGGCGGAGACCGAGACTTTGGTCGCTCGGAAGGTACCATGGGACCTTGGGAGAGGGATCGTGGTGGTCCTGGGCCAGAGCGCTCATTTGACAGAGGTGGTGATCGCTTTGGTGGTGACCGAGGCGGCTTTGACAGAGATCGAGGAGGTGACAGAGACAGGGGTGGCTTCGACAGAGACAGAGGTGGTGATCGAGGTGGCTTTGACCGAGACAGAGGTGGCGATAGAGGTGGATTCAACAGGGACAGAGGAGGCTTTGATAGAGACAGAGGTGGGGACAGGGGAGGCTTTGACCGGGACCGAGGTGGCGGCGATAGAGACAGAGGTTTCCGCAGTAACTTCGGCAATGATCGCTACGAAGGTAGAGACAGAGGAGGTGGTTTCCGAGGAGAGAGGAGGTTTGATGACCGCAGAGATGACCGTGGTGAGGGTGAGTGTAATTGTTAACCCTTCAAAAGCTTAACATGCCTTACATAAACTTTTAGAGCCGGAAGGTCCCAAGGAAAGGCCTAAGCTGAATCTTGCGCCCAGGACAAAACCTATTTCTGAGGCTGCTGAGTCTGACCCCAGGACAGAGGATGAACCTTCGGCCCCTCCTGCTCCCAAAGGAGCTTCAAGCGCTTCTATTTTTGGAGGAGCAAAACCTGTTGACACTTTGGCCAGGGAGCTAGAAATTGAAGAGCGCCTGGCCAAGGACAGAGCTGCAAAGTATTAACCAGTCTTTTTGTGAAAATGGAGCGAACAATGATTTTTGATAATTAATTTTAGAGCATCTGCGGAAGCTGAAGAGAAAGAAAGAGATAGTGCTGCACAAGAGAGGGAGCCAGCACCTGTCAAACCTTCGTGGAGGTCTGAGAGAGTTGTTGTAAGAATCTATTTTGCTTGTTGTACAACCAGAAATTATTGATTGCCTCTGACATAGGATGAGAAAAGAGGCGACGATGGCCCAAGAAAATTGGAGGATCGACCACCCCGAAATGAAGGAGAGGGAAAGTATCAACCTCCCAGGTCTGCTCCTAGGTCTGGTGACGATCGTCGAGGCGATGGACCTCGAGGTGGTCCAAGGAGGGATGATCGTAGGGACGATCGTCGTGATGACCGCCCGAATAGGCGACCTGAGGATCGACCTGGTCGCAATGAAGACCGCAAAGGTGATGACCGGCCGAAAGCAGCAACTGTGGACAAGTAAGAAGCAATTTTCCCCTTTCTTTCCTTTCTATATTGATTATCTTATAGAAATGTAAAACGAGATCCCAAATCAACTGATGAGCCCCGAATGCCGAAATTCCAAGAGCAGAAAACTCCAGTAAGTACACCTGTTTAAAGTGACGTGCAATCAATTGATAGTGCGTTCCATTCTAATTGAAGTGCATCTTATGTCCCCCAGTCTACTTATTTTGTAGGTAGATGGGTCTAAGTGTGTGCTATATCAATCAATCTGCAATGGAATTCTCATCAACCAAAAATTCATAATATTCTGATTGCTTATTTTGATGATTTACTCAATGTGAACTTTTTTCTTTCAGGACTATAGTGAAAAAAATATTTTCGCTGCACTTCCTGACGAAGACATCGAGTGCGAGTAGTGCTGTGCCGATTTTTGTGACGTCTTTCAAAACAGCGCTATTTTTTCTGCTCAACTGGAGCCTGTTCATTTTAATTTTCCTTTTTCACATGTGAAAACCATTATTAGCTACTGATTGGTTTGCATAGGTCAATTATCTAAAGCGAAACCAGTTATATTGATTCACACAAGTTCACACGATGGACCTTTTGCAATCAGTTTTTGTTTTGTATGCATTCATAAGTGTGATGGTTGGGGGAATGTTAACGAGATGAATGTGACAGCATTTGTTGCTGATCTGCATGATCAACCGGAACCAAGACGAGCATTAGTATTGCTTTTGGTTATTATTGTACAGTATGAGTGTTTTGCAATGAATAAATTCCATTTGTATGGCAAAACAGCATTAGCCATTAAAATAAACAACAATTTAAACTTGAGATGGTGTTTTAGTTCTCCTGAGCATCATTGTTAGTTTAAATCAATTGATTAATTTAATATACCGAAATTGCAAATTATACATAATTTATGGTTCAGTGATGACTTAATAAATGGAATCATTTTAATTCTTTTATCAACTGTGGAATATTGAACCAAGTAATATAATTGTTAATTCTGCCAAGCAATGAAATATATAGGAAGGGAAATTAGCACTTAAGTTTATCACAACTACTAATATTTTTCAGCATTAATTTATTAATCAATTATCATATTTTCTTCTACAAGTACACCAAAACAGGAATTTCCAAATGCTAAACACTTGTTAATCGCATCATGCACAATTCAAGGCGTTTCCATAGTCGATAAATGCAAATCCTGCTCATTGTCCTCATCATTCAACAACTCTCCGTCTATTTTCTTTTTCTTCTTGGCCTTCTTCTTAGGTGGTTCCCGACTTCCCAGAGCGTTTTTAGGACAAGCATAGCTCAAATGTCCAACTTCCTTGCACTCGTAACATGTGCTCTTATCGGTGTACTCCTTGCGCTTGATGAACTCGCGAGCTCGCCCGTTGTCCTTGGCAATGCTGCACTTAATAGTCCGGCCCAAGAGTTCTCGACCATTTTCCTCTGCGACACAGTTTTCAGCGTCTTCTTTTTTTATGTACAAAATAAAAGCGATGCCTTTGCTTCTGCGCTCCGAGTCTCTTGCCACAGTCACTTTGGCAATTTTCCCGTGTTTTTCGAATATCTTGTGAATGTCATTGTTGGTGAGAGAGAAAGGAAGATTTGACACATACACTGTGCTCTTCGACGGTGCGAGTCCCCCGCTCATTTTCAGCTCCAATCAAATCTAGAACAAAACAAAATCTTGATTTAAACATAAATTCTAAATCAACTCCTATTTTATTATATTTTTTTCAGCAACCTTCACGGTCTTATTTGAGGGTCCATCATAACAATATTTGGAGGCAGGCAGTTTGCCACAAGCAGATGCTTTTCGTGCATCACTTGCAACGAATCCACAAAATCAAACCAGTAGACAACCATGCCAGGTCCGTATCGATTCCAGTAGGTTGACAGCTGCTTTTTGACATACTTGTCGTGCCACTCCTCACTGCCGAACAGGGCCTTGCTTTCAATCCAATGAATAATGAATCCATTCACTGCGATGGGCACCTGTGTTGCAGAAACCAGAATAAAAAACAAATTCAAAATAAGTGCAGAAAAAAACAAGACTTCTAATTTGATGTCCGGAGTTTTGTCCATGCCCAGGTTTCTCATCTGGTCCTCGGTCAAGAAGGGAATATTCCTCTCACTTAGCTGCAGACTCAGCGAGTGCTCGTACTGCTGTCCGAGCGAGTGATTGATGGCGTCCGCCAATGGGCCGTACTGGTCATCCACCAAAACACAGTAGTGAACGTCCACCGCCAACTGTCTGTCCTCGATGAGAGTTGTGTCCCGAAGCAATTTGGTTATGAACTTAGACAGTGACCCTTCGCCGTCCAAATCCTTTTCCTTTGACCTGAGGAAGGCCTCGAGGATTACCCGAGCAAGTAAGGCGGGCGACAGACCAATTTCGGCCGCCATCGACACCAGTGTTGTCTGCGACGGGCCGCGCTCATCCATGTAGTGCTGCAGGTATTCATCGCCTCTGCTTTTGTGTCTGGAATGGGCGAATCTCATTTTGCGACAGATTTCTTGGGAAAGAATGCTGCGTAGCGTGTGGAAAGGCACGTCCTGGAAGGTTTTCTGCAGTTCAGTCATGGTCGTCCGGCATGTGTGAGGTCCTCTGGCCGACGCGATCAGCTGGACGATTTGATTGAAAATTTCCTTCTTCATCTCCTCAAAGGTCACAATGTCGGGAGTTCCTATATACATAGAAGTGAAAAATGTAACTACTGCCTGCCTCCAGCTTGTGATGAACCAAATTCAACTTTTGAGATTTCAGGTCAAAAAGGGGTAAAAGGTACCGCGGCTTAAAAGCGGTCAAGGGTTTTCCGCGCCAATTAATATATTCTTAAGAAAGAAATTTTCAAACCCACAACAAAAACCTACACTATTTTATGTAATTGATCCTGAATCCAGACCCAGACTTCAGTTTCACTCAGTCAAGGGTCAAGGTGCATGGAAAAATCCTTTTATGCACCTTGTTTCCAGTTCAGACTCGCAGAAGACCAATATCCTTGCAGAAGACGTCTTATTGCAGAAGAGCCAGAAGACCAAGACCAAAACAAACTGCAATGCCCATCCCGGGCCCGGCATTCCCGGCCCATCCCATCCCTGATCCGAAGGAGGGCCAAAAGGGCCAGAGCGCCAAGCGTCATCTTACGGAACTAGCGTCACAAACAAAACAAACAACCTGAACCGGCTGTATTTTTATTTAAATTTATATGAGCATACATTAAACGTGTTGAATATTATTATTATTTTATCTCTCTTGTTCTTGTCACCTTACTTTTCTTGCCTTTCACGTTGTAATTTTATTATGATCGTCCCAAATCCTCTCGAGATGCCGCACCGTTTACAACTGTGATCGCGATGAGATGAAAATCGCAGGCGAGTAAATAAGCTGGAAAATCACACGTCGTCATGTCGGCCACTTCTTGCTGCTCCAACCTGAAAGGGTTCGCGATGACGCGGCCGCCCTTGGTTGTTTTCACTTGCTGTCTTCTTGCCCTGTCGTTTGCCACCATTTATCTTTCCCACTGCATCGACGACTCGAACTTCCTGCCAAACCCGGACATTCCTCGAGTAAGAAATAAATTTGTTTTTAAAGAAATCCGCGATATATTAATATTTACATATTAGGATTGGAACGTACTTTTGACCCGAATGGCCGGACTAGACCTTTGCGCGAGACCTGCTGCTGCTAAATCATCTGAGATAAAAAATGAATCTGCCAATCTTGCCAGAAAAGAAGACATTGTCAGCGTCACTGCTGCCCTTGAGCTGTCCAAAGAGCTGCACAGCCAAATGGGCAACGACACCGAAATCGGAGGCAACATCAATGCCACTTTATTAGGAATAAAAGGTGGTAGAAAAATTTCAAATTATAAATGTAATCAAAGGTGTAACAAAATTTTATCTTGTATAGGCGTTCATAATATTCATGTCAGCTTTGTGGTGTTCTCCAATTATACAAACGGTGTCCATCACAACCACAAAATTTGTGCTACCTTTACCGGACTTAAATCCGAACTTCCTGAAACTCAAGCTCCAACACAGTGTGATGCTAAAAAGGTATATAAGCAGATAAAACTTGTTAAAGAAATGCTTCAGTCAATTTGCGTCAAACGGTCAAACATATATATTCAAATTCTGGCAAAAAGGAGTGATTCACTGAGAAGCAAAGTGAATTAGCAACTTTACACGCCTTTAATTCTTTATTTAAAGAGATTAAAATTTGAAATATTTTGAAATTTTATCCTATATTTTAAAATAAATTCATAATTGTATATTTTGTTAAAACCTGATTTATAATTAAATTTTTTTATCCATTCCTCAGGGTTCTACTCCCGGAGAAAAATTTTCAGCTTTGTCTGTAAGGCTTCGAGGCCCTGAAGCTGCATCAGATTGGTGTTCAGAGGGTACAGAACTACGAATGGCTTACAAGATAAACTCCAATCTCACTGCAACACTAACTGTGGTAATTTATAATATAATTATGCATTATTCATATCAATTACGCGTTTAAAATAATCAACTTGAATACTTGAATCATAGAAAATTTATTAAGCCTATTAGGGACAAATGAGTTTTGGCAGCACTAAGATGTACAGATATGTTTTGATTAAATGAAATAAATTATTTTCTTACTGATTAGATTAATATTTAATAATCACTATAAAATTTGCAAATATGACATTCTTATTTGTTTGGCATATTTCTTGATTATAGTTTTAATCAGGGGTATTATTAGTGGGTTATAATATAATTTCATATCATTTTCACCAGTCAAAATTAAACATAATTTCTACTACACCTACTTATTAAGCAATCGAAATTTTAATGATATCATAAATTTTCAGGCTGACAAGGCGTTGATAAATCTGCATTTGATGCACACCAGTTACTTCCTCCTTGTTATGGCCCTCACTCTGATTTTCTACGCAATGATCAAGGGTAGCCACAGCCACAATCACGAAAAGCTTCCGTTGGGACCCTAGAATACGTGCAATATTCCAACAAAATGTTCAAAAGACTGTTAAAATAATTCCATTATTGATTTGTTAAAATAATTCCATTATTGATTGCCTTGCCAGACCAAATTTCTGTGTTACGGAACCTTCATGTCTTGCTTTTAATTTTATAGCTATACTTTTTGATATGCTTTGTGAGATTTTTTTTAAAATAAAATTATTTTAAAAAATTTTCAAAAATTTCAATTTTTTTTTTTAGTTTGATTTAAAATTTTACTCAAGCAATGATTGCTTTTATTCAACTCTTTTGTTGAAAGCTTCAGACTTCAGCATATTAGCAAGACGGAGTGCCAAGAAATAGTAAAAAATAATAATCTTAATAAGTATCATTTGACGTAGTATGAATGGAGGAGCGGTGCACTTTTAGTGAGCACTGAGCGCGCAGTGAGTTTAGTACCGCGGGTCGTCAGCACGAGGCGCGCGGGTCGCCAAGAAAGGCTCGTGCCAAAATATTGTGTTCGATGTCCTTTGTCGAGCGACAGAGGTTTTTCTAAATTTGGGTCCACACTTTTGCACCCTTAAGGGCGGCCAAGCGGAATTGCACTGTCGCAGTTTGATCAGCCGGGCGTCCGACGGTCGTTTCGGCCAGTGTCAAGTGCAAACTTTCGCTTTTCAGCTCGGCAATTGATCATGTCCAGGTGCCAGCCATGACGACCTACAAGACAAACTCGACTCAATTTTATTGTAAGAAATAATTTTGTTTAAATTTAATTTAATCACAATTGCATCCCCATTATAAACTTATTAAACTTTATTAATTTGAGAAAATATTTAAAAATTCAGTCATAGTAAATTTAAAGTATAACTATTTTTTATTTAATTATTTTCTTTGTTTCTAAATATGTATTTGCGTTTTATACATTTTATTTGTTAACGAGCATTTTATAAATTTAATGCTTATTATTAAACTTTTCACTTTTATGTATATTATACATCAAAATCCACATCAATCAACAAAAACTTTTAATCTTATCTATATCAATTTAATTGTATTTTTATTAATTGACTTCACAGAACTACGAGGATTGATAAATAAATCTTAAAATTTTCCTCTTCCATCCGAACAGAAAATAGCAAATATGGCAAAAGATGACTGTGTGGACGACTTGCTGCCAGACAAAGATGCTGCAAAGGAGTTTTATGCAAAGTATGAACCAAAGGAAATCCTTGGCAGGTAATTTAAAAATTTTATTATTATTTATTAATTATATATTATTTTATTTTATAAATGACACTGTGATGACGTTTGAATCTATTTTGCTTCTAAAATAGTTTGAAATTTGAAACCGCAGCCTTATGCAGTCACCACTCTGCACTTTAGCGAGTTGTGCACTTGTGCAAATTAGTTAAAAATAGTCTCTCAATTACCTCAGCGCTGCTAGATATCGGTTTCACTTTTCGTCACACATTTGCATATTATTATTTGAACTTGAAATGCAGTTTTCCCAAGAGATATAATTTTACATCTATTTCAGGGGCGTGAGTTCGACCGTCAGGAGGTGCATCGAAAAAGAGACTGGCCGCGAATATGCAGCGAAAATCATCGACCTCAGTTCGGACGCTGAGAACTTGTCCATGCACGAGTCGACCATTCAGGAAATCCACATCCTGCGAATAGTGGCCGGACACCCTTTCATCAGTAAAGAGGCCAAACAATTATTAATTAACAAAATTTATTTTCATACTTGAACTATTTATAGTTGAGCTCCACGACGTCTTTGAATCAAACACATTCATCTTCCTTGTTTTCGAGCTGTGCAGAAATGGCGAGCTCTTCGATCACTTGACCAATGTGGTCACTCTTTCCGAGAAGAAAACAAGATACATCATGAAACAGGTTTGGTTTCGAAACGCAAACAAACATTGTCACACTCAAGCTTTGTTTTTGTTTATTTCAACAAAAAGGTTTTCGAGGCCATCGAACACGTCCATGACAAAGGCATTGTTCACCGAGACATCAAACCCGAAAACATTCTCCTCGATGAGAATTTGAATGTGAAGCTCACGGACTTTGGTTTCGCCAGAGTTTTGAAAGATAATGAAAAACTCTTTGGTAAGTGTTTTTAAACCAATTATTTAAGGTAGGAGTTCGAAGCAGTGAGAATTTGCAGAGTTGTGTGGGACGCCAGGCTACTTAGCCCCTGAAGTTTTAAAGTGCAACATGTTCGAGGATTATACAGTCGGTTACGGTCAAGAGGTTGACGTGTAAGGGCCACCAATGTTAAAAATTTAATCCTCAATTTCTTTGCTAAATGTTCAAATTTACAATCTTAGCACGTTGATCGATGTGGCCTCTTTTAAAACTAGTTTTATTAAGTTTGCTTTTCTTAACAAAACCTGCACTTTTTGTGACTGATCATTATTTTAATACAAATTTTTATTTTGCACAAAATAAATAAATAATTTTTGTAATTTGTTTGTTTTAAATCAATATGCGAACAAACACTATTGCTATTATCTTGCTAGAATTTATATTTAATTAACTGCATGCATTTTTCCTTTCATTCTTCCTAAACACACTAGAGGTTTGTGGAACGCCTGGCTATTTTGCACCTGAACTAATTCAAGCAGCCATGTACGATGACTCTGATGGTTATGACAGAGCTATCGACCTGTGAGTCTCCCTGTTTTTCTTTGCTTAATTACCTATATTTTGTAACCCTGACTATCCGAATTCTAAAATATGAACAAAACGTTGACTTGAAAATTCAATTTTCAGATGGGCTTGTGGAGTTGTGATGTACACTTTGTGAGTTAATACAACTTTAACTTAAAATTGGTGATAATAATTTGCATTTCAGGCTAGTGGGGTGCCCTCCTTTTTGGCACAGAAAGCAAATGGTGATGCTCCGGAATATAATGGAAGGCAAATACTCTCTCAGTACCCCGGAGTGGGAGGACATAACAGGTAGTCTACTTTGATGCACGATGGAATTCATGAATATAATTGTAATAAATTTATGAACCAGATGCGCCAAAAGACTTGATTCGAAAGCTCCTCGTTGTTGATCCGAGTAAAAGACTTACAATTACAGAAGCCTTAGCACATCCCTTTTTCCAAATCATGGTAAGTTTCCCATTCAGTGATATACTTTTCTTCAAAACTCTCTCACATCTTTTGAGGTAATTAACACATATTTATCTTCATCACTATTGTGTATGTTTCACTTCCAACAGCAATGGGACACAAACTTGTCTGAACTCAAAAAATCATTCAATCATGTGCCCACCAGTTTGAGTGAGAGGGTAACAAACAGAGAAATGTGATCATCAGTGTAACTAACACCTCTTTTTGAAATTAAGCCTCGCTATTAAAAAAGAAACAATTAAAACACGTTGCTTATTTGCAGCTTATTGCTTTTTGATAAAATTATCTGCTGCGGTTTTACATCCGTCTAGGGATAACTTCTTAACCATAGGTGTCTGGATTTAGCAGAATAGATTGAAAAGAAAATAATTAAATGTTAGCCAATTAATCAAGACTTTAATGCTCTCTTGTTGTATCGTACTCAATATACTATTGCTATTGGTGGTGGTTTATTTTATTATTTTTATTTTTAATTAAAATCCTTAAATTTTAATCTACAACTATCTAATTCACAATCCCATTTACAGCATTACCAAAGTAAGAAGTTTGAGGCCAAAAAGTTGTTCCAATTTGGAATTTTGTGTGTGAGAGCTGTGGTCCGCATCAAAAGATTAAAATACACCCCGGAGCCTCTTTCAATTTCTGTGGCACAGGACGACCCCTACAGAATCAAATCTCTCAGAAAGGTTTGCAATTGTTCATTTTTTTTACAGTTACTTATTTAGCCCTTTAATTCCAATGCTGTGAGTTAGATTTTAAAACATCTCTTTTTTAAAACTTCAGGTGATTGACGCATGTGCATTCAGGGTTTACGGACATTGGGTCAAGAAGGGCGAAGGTCAAAACCGAGCTGCGCTCTTTGAGAATTTCCCGAAGAGAGAAGCCAAGCAACTTTATCTCCAAGCATTTTCGTATGAATCCAACAACCAATGACTTGATTAGTGGCCACAAACAATTACTGCTGTGTGAATGATGCGATATCTTTTTTAGTGTCACAATATTTTATTTTTTACTTTGTTTGGATAGTTTCTTGAACCTTATTGTTTTAATTATTATTTATAATTTTGTTGAGCAACGCTTGTTGTTGTGAGTGTTTTTCATTACCTTCTCCACAATAACTATATCAGAAAGACTTCATAGATTTTTTTCACTAGCCCTTGTGATGTCTTTAGAAGAATTGGACATGTGGATTATTTATTTTGTAAGTTGTTGCATTATAGCCTTACTAAACATAAATATTTCTGTGAAATAGATAATATATGCATTGTTTTTGTCATGCTATACTGTTGGCGTGTAATTATCACAAATATATGATGCTGTAATCACTACACTTTGTAAATTAAGCAGCACAACACAAATGTTCTATTTCAAAACATGTGTGAAATTTTTAGTAGAATTTTTTTAGAAAGAAGTCTATTGGGCGTCACAATTGTTATAAAATTGTAACCATCAATTTACCGATTCAACTTATTGACTAAAAAGTTTTCTTCATTTAATAAAATTTGAAAAAAAAAAAAATGCTCTGTTTTACTACCAAAAGTTTTCCAAGCTGTATTACATATTTATTGCTTATTGCTAATTTGATATCCCCTTAAAATTTAAAATTCTTTGCTATTCAAAATTCACGTATTCTCCAGATTTCAAGCTTAACTAATTCCGCCATAATTGTTTTCATATTTTGATAAAAAAAAAATTAATTACGCTGCTAAATATTTCTTCAATGAGGGCGGGAAAAAGGAATTATACTTGCTGGGGGTGATAATTTGAAGAAATAAAATGACACTGAATGTGACCACTTGCTTTTCACTATATATGTTGATATTTTGACTTTTTAAAACTCAAGCATACACCATTATTTTTAGCTTAATCAATTAAGCGAAATTTTATTTTTATTTTTACTCCGAAATCAATTTCACTGTTCAACTTTAATTAAACAAGGCGGAGAGGATTATTATCAGGCTGTGCAAATTTGTGTGAAAGTGACCACTTGCTTTTCACTTTAAATGTTGAAATTTTCCTTTTTTAAATCCAGGTCTACACCAGATTTCGAGCTTAATTAATTAGGCGAAAATAGTTTTTAATATTTTCATTCAAAAATCAATTCAACCGCTCAATTTAACTCTACCAATTTATATTGTCAGGCGCTGCAAATTTGTTTCAAACATAACTCTTGCTTTTCACTTTAAATGTTGAAATTTTGCCTTATTAAATTCAAGTCATCACCAGATTTTTAGCGTAATTAACGATAATTAATTCATTAATTTTTTTAATTTTTTTTTTCAAAAATGATGTTTTTGGAAAAAATGTTTTGTATTTGTAATTACTACCTTATTCTATTTTATTCAAAATCAAATAAGTTTCACTGGGCTTATAAATATTTTGAAATAGATTTAAATTAAATAATAAATAATTTATATCTCTGTTATATTGCATATAATATCTTTTATTACCTTTTGTTTAAATTTACTAAATCTATATTTAGTAAGGTTAATTATTTTGATAATAATAATAAAAAAAAGATACATATAAAAGTATACAGATTATAAAATAAACGGAAAAAATGAACTATTTTATTTCAATTGGTTCGTAAAATAATAAAATATCTTGAGCACAAAACAAAAAATAGGCAAAGCAGGCAGGCGTGCGCCCCCCTCCCCTCATTCCTCTCCTTGGGAGCGAGGAACTCGCGTGGTGTGTTTTGGCCCGTCAGTGCGCGGAGTGCAGGTCTGGTAACGGGGTCTGCCAGCGAGCGCCGCTCTCTTGCTCCGTGCGTCTGTTCATTCCGATGGGTGACAGCATCTCTGGCCATCTGCTTCTCGACAGGGTGTGATTTCTGCTCGGACAACACCCTGAACTCAATTGCACCCTCCACTTCAAAACTCCTTCGGGTGACCGCGAACTCTGACCTCCTGCGCGGTGACATGCGGAGCTTCGGAGACAACAAGTGGTGCTGACAATTTTGTGTATTTTGACTGAACAGTTTCTTGGACGAGATGAAGGTGTTTGCCCGGGTGATGGGCACCCTGGTGGTGCTGCTCTGCGTCCTCTTCCCCGTCAGCTTGGAACAGGTGTTCGGCGGTGTGCCCACTTTCGATGGATTGCCAGGTAAGACTCTCTCGATTATAATAATTTAAAATTTTGCAACGAGCATGTTTGCAGATAATCATCTTGCATTTTTATTAAGTGAAAATCTTTTAAGGACACGTCTTTAGCCATTTGCATTGGCTTCAGAAAAAAAAATGAGAAAACATTAAATAATTGAACTCTTTAAATAAATAAAATAATGAACATGAAAACTTATTTAATATTAAATTTCAGGTTTTATTGATAGTATTAGTTTAAAATATTCTAAAATTTCCCACTTAACAAATAAATGGTCAATTTTTAACTAAATCTTAGTTAATCCGATGCTGAACGTAAAAGAGGAATTTGTTATTATGAGGCTATACAGTGTTTTTTAGAATCGAAAAAAAAATCATATTCAGTGTCAAAAGGTTGAGGATTAAATTGCAATTGGGCAAGAGCAGCAGAAACTGAAATTAGAGCCTGATTTTGAAAACAAATTCAATCGGAATCTTTACTAAAATACAACATTTTGAACCAAATCCTGAACTAAATGAATTTTCCGAGCGATTTTCATCTAGCGGTCTAATTATTTAGTAAGCGTGTAGTGCTTGGTGGCAAAAAAAACCTAATCAACGGCGACAATTATTCATAAGGGACGACCATCTGTTACAAATTAACACCTGCGTTTGACACACAAATTGCAACATGCGCGAGGCGCAAAAACCGGCCCCGGCGGCGCCGAGGGAAATTTTTTGATTATTGATGGATTGGTGTCTGCCGCATGTCGCTCTTTCTGCTGCCGGCACTTTTTCACGCGCGCGGACGTGTATTGAGAAATCTCATTACACTCTCTCGGGATCATTCCTTCCGCGGCTGGATTATAGTAATGCAGCATCTCGCGCCCGGCGCGTACAAGTCAGAGAGCTCCTCGCAGCATCCTCCAACTCTCACGACCGGTCGCTCTCTTTCTCGCCCAGGGACAGAAGAACAGTTAGAAAATTATGCAAGGTCAGTTTAGCGCAGAGAGAAGATCTTGCCACTTTTGAACTCAATAAGGGAATCAGGAACATGCTTATTGCGGATGGGAATATATTTTAGAAAATTTTGTGCAGGAAACTAAAAATAAACTATAAAACTTATGCCAAAATATTGGAAAATTCACACCTAATTATGCTATTTATGGACATGATTATTTATAATTTTATGCAAAGTTGATTTTAAAAGTTTTTTTTACATTTGATCATGGAATCTAGTGGTATAATATTAACTTAAATTTTTTATTCAAATTAAATAATTGGAAAGGAGTTCATTAAAAAAAACTTTTTGTTTGTGTCTTTATTAAATAATTTTTTTCGTTTTTAAAATGCCCTTATTATAGTGCTTGCATCAAACCAATCCACCAATACTAATTATATGCGCTGAACAACAACAGATGTCTCATTACCTTCGTTATTCCCCGGGCAGCGCATTTTATAATGATAGCAATAAACATTGCAGAAGAAAGGCATTACTTGAAGCATCCTGGATGTTAAAAACACTGGAATGGTCTGTTTGCGTGGCCTGTTACCGCAAAAAGGCTTCCAAATTTATTATTATATTCAGAATTTTGATTCAAGTACCAAAATAAATATTAAAAATTAAATTTGTTTTGCCTATATTATGTCTCTGGCTGATTAATTAATTAATAAAGCCTGTGAAGGTTTAAAAATAACTGGGCTAAACAATGTTATTGGCTTTTTTTATTTTACTAAATGATTTTTTAATATTATCTCAATTGTTTAAAGAAGTTGCAAAAAGCCAGAATAAATTTATTTATTGCTGACGAAATGTTGAAATTTTACTAATTAGGCCGTTCAATTTTGAAACGCTTTTATTCAAAACAAAGAGGACATTAGGTGCAAAGAACCGTTCGCCGCGTGTCCTTTCTTTCCCATTCGGCGTGACAAATGAGCTTTGGCGTCAAAATCTGCGCAGACAGCGAGCTAATTTCCCACTTGCCAGATGAAATTACGCAGACATATCCTCGGAGACAAACATTTTGTGGCGCAAAGCACCAGAGAGAGTTGCAGAGAAAAACCTGCTCCTTAGCATATGCGTTCATTTTTTCTTTGGCCATCAGCCAAACGTCTCATTTCCTGCATCGTTTGAGAGCTAAGGTGATTAAAAGCTCCATATTGCGATCGAGAGCCCGAGCGAAACTATTGCAGGCCCACACAGTACATGCAGGACGGCTCTTTTTTGCTGCTCCGCCCGCCGACGGCCACATTGCGCGCTAAATTGCAAATTCGCCCTAATCTAAAATTAAGCACCGCTTCAACGAGAGCCGAGTGTGTGGCACGACCAGCGTCGTCTCGCTCGTCGCCTGCTTTATTGAATAAAATGGATGAGAGCAAGCAAGAGAGACTGAAAAGTTTGGCCATTTCCTCCCCATGCAGTCCCCAGAGTCTACTTAATGATTGCCTACAATTAATTATCCTAAAAGGCTCAAAAGCTTTGTTTCCTCTCATGGAATGCAAATTTTAGGAGCTGACAGATCTCACGTTTTTGCTTAATGTAATTGAAATTACAATTGGAGTACAAGAAACGAAATTATATTTAGAAAAAAAAGAATAAAAAAAGATTCTATACCTCAATACAATATATATTTTTTCGCATCAAGCTAATTTTTATATTAAAGCGTTTATTTTATTTCTGAATTCCAATTTAAGTGGGGTGTTACAAACTTGATGAAGTAAATTTCTTATTAACAATAAATCTGGCCGGTTTTAAGCAACACATTTTTTTTAGAAATAATGTTTATTTTGGAAATAACTTACACAAGATTTAAAATGCAAAAATAAATCATGTAGTAAAATCAGTATGACTGATTTAATTAGGTTAGATTCTGTTTTCAAATGAAGTTTTTCAGCGAGAATGATTTTTACATTTTATTAATTTGCCAGAATTGTTTTTTCTCTGTAAAAAATAAAAAATTAAAAGTGCAGCAGCTGCAATAAAAAAACTACTTCAAAAATTGTCTCGTCAATTTGTTGAGGAATTTCGGTGCATGTGAAACTATTTTCATAGCTGTTGATGCAGTCAGTTTGGTGTGTATCCATATCTTTGGGTCCCTCTTTCTTTATCTGCAGTAATCTCACACGGCCCTTAAAATAACATCCCAGAGAGCAGGAATTTCTTTTACTTCGAGAGTGTCGAACGGCAACAAGACAGGGCGACAAACGCAGGTTGGTTTTTGGGGAGCAACAGCAGCAGCGTGTGTTAGATGAAGCTATAAGACGCGAGATACTTATCTGCTTGTATGTGCTTGCTTTTGTCTTTTATTTATAGCAACGAGTCAGTCGGCAGCGCGCAGTTGGTGACTTTTCTTATGTTTTCTCTCTTGCGAGTTTCGTTGGTTGCTCCCCTCGCAGCCATGGGACCAACAGGACATAATTGTGTGGCCGTTGCTTTTTACTTTTATCGCCGCAAAACGCGCGGGCCGAGTCTGTTAATTTCTCTCGTAATTTTATTTATTGCCTCAAAAAAGGAACGCTTTGTTTCGGTTCAATGGCAGCTTTGAACGCAATTAATTTAACTCTTCCTTCCACTTTTCCAGCTCAGTGTCAGTTTTAAATTTAGTTACTTATTTAAGTTCACGTATAATATTTTATTTAACAATATTTTACTTTTCCTTTAAATGAAAATTGTACGTATATTATTTATTATATTATTTATTTAAAATAAAATGTTTAATTTTATTTATTTTTTACTAAAGATAAAAATATTTTCACTTTCAATTATAACTGTTGATAACTGTAAAAAACTATTATATATTAAAAAATTCAGTGTTTAATTATATATAATTGCTATGCTATGTTGATGTACCCATTATTATGAACTATGAAAATACAATGCTGAATGCAAAAAAGAATTCAAGTCTGTTAATGAATAAGAATATTATATTATCTTATGATATAAATGTTAATAATTAATAATTAATCTAGTGAAGAAAATGTATTTAAATAACTTAACTATTAACTATTATTTGTGTAAGAGACTTTCATAAGAAAAATTTGGACGTCCAAAAGAATTCAGCCCATTCATTTAACAGACAAAACAATTGCTTTACGATAAAAATATCTTTCCTTATTATTTGCTTTGGAACTAATATTATTCATTTTCAAGTTTGCCAATTTCTCTTCAGTCCAATTAAGAAACGTCAAACCGCAATTCGCGTTGGTGCGGTCCATCTCTCCGCATCCTTTTTGGCTCCTTTGCCAAACGAATTCGAATTTTTCACCGCCACTCAGTAAAAAATATATACATTCACACCACGGACGAGTGAGTTTTTTTTATAAATATATGCATACTAACTGACACGTTCTAAAGGTGTGTTGGTCGTTGCTGAAAAACACACACAAAAATCGTGCATGCGGCCATAAATTTTCCAGTAGCTGGTAACCAACCCCTCGTTCTGCTCTCTCGTGGGATTGAAAACAACAGTAGCAACACCTAATTTACAAAAGTTTGTTGCTCGGCTTGTTTTACAAGGCAACAAATAAAGATTTAATTGGACCGGCGGCAGCAGCGACTTGTCAAGACCCCAACTTTTCTTTCGGACGAGGGAGGGACACAAATAAAATTGGTATTTAACTTATTGATCATTTGTGGTTTCGTCATTTAATAATTTCGTTTAATTTTGATTGACGCGAACAAGTGGATTTTTAATCACAGGAAGAGCAGGTCTCTATCTAGGAGAGTAATTTCAGAGGGTGGAAGCAGCTTGATGAATTCCCTTGTTCTCATCCCGGCTTGAGAGATAGAGAGAGGGATGAGAGTCGAGCCACTTTTGGTCTCACTCAGCAACCCTTTGTCGGGGGGTTTGATTATTGTTCTAGACCCAATTCAACTTGTTATCAAACTGGCTCAGAATGCCTATTCATGTAAAGAAAAGGAAACGCCGAATTGAAATTTTAATTTCTTTCACTGCAAAAGCAATATCAATAAATTTAGCGCCACAACAAACAGCCGTCGTAAATTGGTATGTCGCTGATTTATAT